GTCAAAATGTAACATAGTATCATAGCTACATTTTTTTCGGGTATATCCCGTAACATGAAATGTACAAGGAGGACTACTTTTCGAATTTGAGATCTACTATGACTTCGAAAATATATCTCATTCTAATCCCACCTACTTGTCACTTTTTCAACGCATTTGACTTATACAACCCAGTCATCATATTCCTAATTCTAAGACAATACTTGCCACCCAATATAGAAACAATACTTTTGACTTGCCTGCATCGGTCAATGTTTGGTCAATACCGTTAGTCAATGTTTGGTCAACTAAAATTTTGTTTCCGTGCTTGTGTCGGTCAACATTTGGTCAACTCTGATCAACTCGGTTAATAATTTTGTTACCGCCAACTTTGGCTTTGGGATATTTTTCTCATCTTTCGAGTTGCCTCTGGTTTTTTTTATCAAGTTTTTGGTTTGGTGTTCAGTTATCTGTCCGGAGTTTTTGCCTATTAGGGTTTGATTTCTTAGGGTTTAGTATCGCCGTTGTGACAAAGGATTCCAGTCATAAAAAATCTTAATTTGATACCCCGGAATGACAAAGGACATTTCTGCCGCCTCTGTGACAAAGGATCGTGGCAATGAAAGATCCTATTTTTGCTAAAACTTTAATTTATTACAGTTTATCACCTCCATTGCAACAAAGGATCGCCGGCGCGTTTCCGCGACAGAGAATTGCAGCCACTAAAAACCTTAGTTTGGCCAAATAATTTCTTAAAGTCCGCAATAGAGAATCAGTTTGAATGCTTCAAATTTTGATGCCTAGTTATAAAGTCCGTCCATATTCAAACTCCATTTGTTTCTTTGCCAAACTCAAGTTGGTTAGAACCAACTTGAGTTTGAGTTCTATATCATCAACTTGAGTTTGAAACGAAATGTTAGATAAATATTTTAGATAGATATTTTGGTTGATGTTATTTAGATTTGATAGTTTTATTTGGGCATATCTATTAGATTATGTTATTATTTAGATATATCTAGTAGATTAGATTATTGTTATTTCAGTTATTATTTTGTATAAGATCTATAATTAGACCCTAATTTCATTATCAATAAAATATCTTAAGAAATTTCTCCTAAAATGTAACAGACCCATGCTCCTGTCGTTGTTCAAACCCTGTCATCCCACCAGCGTTCAACGATGTGAACCCTTTCATTTACCGGTCTTACAAAAGGACTTAGGAAGGTCAAGGCTGCCCATCTTCTTATCATCGATATCCTCCCTATTTCCCTTCAAATCGCCATTGTGTCCACTCCAACCTCGGTTGTCACCTCCAAGTCGCATTCGTCCCTCACAGGCGACGATAGATTTTCTAAAGCTTAGAGATTCCTTCCTTCAGATTATCTATTCCTCTGTCCATCAGCCCATCACTAGTTGTGTTGATTTGTGGTTGACAAGACTCTCTTCATTCCAAACATGTTTAGTTCATTCACTGGAACTCTTCCTCCCATTTCTGCAATTGCTAATGAACGATTGATGGGGAGCTCTAACTATGGTCCATGGCCAAGTTTGTTCACATGTGGTGTATGGGTAGGGCTTGGCAGGTCATCTTGTCACTCTCTCAGATAAGGTTTCCAAGACTGACAAAGTTGCTTGGCTTTCATGTTGTTTTCTTTAGTAGTCAATTGATCTAACCTTGCATTCTATTTTCATCAATTTTACCAATTTATATGGCCTCTAGAAGCATATCAAAAATCTATACACTAATGAAATTAAATGTTTGTACAGTATGGTATCTAATTTATTGAATCTTCATCAAGGATCGACAATTCTTGAGTACCTACACAAACTTTCCTCAATAAAGGTTGAACTTAATTTTGTTTGGCCTCCTTGAAAGACAGTGGGTATAAAGCTTGCTTAGCGACATACATTTTTTATGGTCTTAGTCGCTCGTCCATCTATTTCCTATTTCCTTTGCCTTTTCCTTTAGCCAAGTCCCTTGGAAGAGTTTAGTTAGTTTCCAAACTAGGTCGTTCTTTATATGGCTTGAAGAAATCTCCTTGTGCAAGTTTTGACCGATTCAACAGTGCTATATAGGATTTTGGCATGGTTTCAAATGCATGATAAGTTTTTGTATCTTCTTGTGTATGTTGATAATATTGTTCTTACCATGAGTGATCAAGAAGGATCACCCAATTAAAACAACATCTATTTAAGCCTTTTCAAACTAAAGATATGGCCCATTAAAGTATTTCCATGATATTGCGATTGCTCCATCAAGTGATGGTATTGTGCTCTCACAACGGAAGTACGTATAGGATATTCTTAAAGAAATTGTTTTGTCTGCTTGCAAGCCAGTAAACTCTACCATGAATCCAAATTCCAAGATTCTACCGGGACAAGGGAGCCATTACTTGTGTTGGTAGGTATCGCAAATTGGTTGGTAACTTTAAGTATCTCACATTTACTCGGCTAGTGAGAATTGTGAGTTAGTTAGTTCAGTTTCCATGAGATGCTAATTTGAGGTGTTGCAATTCGAATTCTAAGGTACATTAAAGGGTGGATTATTCCAATCAAGGTCACACTAAAGTAATTGGATACTCGAATGTTGATTGGGCAGAGGATCTCCATTTGATAGACATTTTACTTCAGGGTATTGCATCTTTGTAGGATTTAATCTCATCTCCTGGAAAAGTAATAAACAAAATGTTATTTCTCGATCAAGTGTAGAGTCATAATATGGAGCTATAGCATTAGCGGCACATGAACTTATTTTGATAAAATAGCTTCTTAATGAGCTAAAGATAGTTGAGGATTAAAAGAAGAAACTATTTTGTGATAATCATGTTACTTTGCATATTACATCTAATCCGGTGTTTCATGAGAGGGCTAAGTACATAGAGATTTATTGTCACTTTATTTGGGAGAAGGTGTTCTCTAGATGCATTGCCACACACTATATAACTGAAATGGTCAACTTGCTGGTATGCTTACTAAATCTCTTAAATTTCTATGTGACAAATTTTGATCATACGATTTGTATGTGTTACATTTTGGTAGAATTTATAAGTTGCTTATTAATAATAAAATTATGGTTTATTTATAGACCTGATAGAAAATTGATAAACTAAAATAATAGCTACCTAACTTAGAAGATATGTCTAAATAATAAATTAATCTATTAATAGGCCTATATAGTAACCGATTTAAATAATACTAATAAAAATATCTATCTAAAATATATGGCTACACCACACCTTAAACTCAAGTTGGTTCCGTAGAAGTCAACTTAAGTTTGGCTAAAGAGACCGGAAGTGGAGTTTAAATGTGACGGACTTTATAATTGGACCTCAATTTTGGATCATTCAAATCCATTCTTTTTCATGGCGAAAACGCTGAACCCTAAGAAATTAAGTTTTGGCCAAATTAAAGTTTATAGTTGTGACAATTCCCTGTCGTGAGAATGCACCGGTGATCCTCTTTTGCAACGGCACTACTAAACTCTACAAAATTAAAGTTTTGGCCAAATTAGGATTTTTAATGGCCACAATCCACTGCTTCTGCTGCTACGGCGATGATCCTCTATTGTTGTAGCAATATCAAATCAGGGTTTTAATGGCAATGATCTTCTATTGCGGTGGGGCCACCGGCAATCCTATGCCGCTGCAGTGGCGGTAAACCCTAATAATTAAATCCTAACAGGCATAAACTCCGGACAAATAATTGAAAACCAAACCCAAAATTGAAAATATCCCAGTATGTTTTCACCGAAAAATTATAGCAATCGGACACCAGATGCATTTTCACACGCAACTAAAGTTGGTGGAAACAAAGTTGTTGACCGTCCATTGACCAAATGTTGACAGGTGCAAAGTCAGGAATATAGTGGCAGTTGTGGTATAGGTTAGATATATTGGGAAAGTCACGAATAGATGCTATTATAATGGGGTATATCCTTTCTTAGTAGTATTGAATCTCAAATTCTAAAGGTAGTCCTCCCAGTACATTTGTGTACCTAGAGAAAACGTGGCTCTGATACCATATTATATTTGTGGAGAATTTATAAGTTGTTAATTAATAATGAAATTAAGGTCTATTTATAGACCTGATACATAATAGATAAACTCATATTATACCAACATATTCTAGTAGATATGTCTAAATAATAATAATTTAAATTAATAGATATTTCTAAATATAACAATCAAATTTAAATAATATTAATCAAAATATATATCTAAAATATATTTCAACAGTATACTCCGGTTTAAGGGTGAGTTTTAGGCATACTATATAGGCCCATTTGTGTATGTACGTTAGTCCATTGTGTAGGTCCATTTTAGCTATTTGTTTGTAGATAGTGTAGGTTTTATAGATGTGTGAAAGTGAATAATAATCATTCCTGTCTCAATATAATGGAATTAATCATTTCAGTATAAAATGTGAGTTGTTAAATCAATGAAATAATTATGCCAATCTCTGGTTTCTGTACTTTTTTTTTTTTTTTTGTATCTATTGTAAAATAAATTCTGGTAAGTGGAAGGTTATCCATGCTTTACTTGTAAATTATTTACAAATTGTTACTGTCTCTCCCCTCTCTTTTGCATCATATTTTTTTTTTAAGCCTCTATATGTTTTTGTTTTATTTTTCAGATTGAGAAACACAGTTTTATTATTTAGCTGAGTTTCAATAAGACATTCAAATTATCTACATTAGAGACCATGCATGAAACATTTCACAGCTCACTCCTATTCCCTATTTATCCCATGTTTAACACCAAATAACTTCAATTTGAATTATCTCTTTTTACAGCTTTGTTGCTTTCAAGCTTCATTCACTGGTGAAAAATATTTTGTTCTTTTAACATAGGAAAGAGGCTTGTGTCTTACTTCAGTTACTCCACTAGCGTAAATTTTAAATTAGAGTTTTAAACTAAGTTTCCAGCATTTGGTTATATTTGTTCGGCCAATAAATTTTCATATAATGGAATGCTTGAGTTTTTCGCACTGATGTGTTTTTCACTTTTTGATACTTTCAATAGTTATGATGATATCACTGGTTGCCGTCAAATATTGGAGAAGTCTGGCCTTAAAGGTTATCAGGTACTCTTAAAAATGTGGGAGGCTCACTTTCTCTTGATTGTTAACTATGATTGGATTGTGTAAGGAAGTATGATGAAGTTGAGTCTTCTTATTTGAGTGTGTGATTTTTAATAGGCAACATGCATACCAAGATATGCAAGTTTCATCCCTAAATATATTTAGCTTATGCTTAAATTATTTTCATCTTATTCTTGTGGTTCCCTATGGAATTTTAAGCTGGAGCCATGTGAGTGTTATATTTTTAGCAAGATTATTCAAATGGATGCCGTTGGACAGTAGTGGCTAGGCTACACACCCTCTTAACATACCACTTATTTGACTAGGCTTGCATAAGGACATTGATATTATCTATTTTCTTCTTTGGTGGGTAAATCCTTTTATAGCTGTGATTAAAAATAATACTTTACTTTGTGAGCATTTAGCTGTAATGTTTAACAAGTATTATAAGTGGCAGTGACGAAGATCTTTATCAACAATTTATTTTTTATTATTATTATTGTGCAGATTGGCAAAACGAAAGTGTTTCTAAGAGCTGGTCAGATGCCAGAACTAGATGCTTGTCGTGCCCGGGTGCTTGGAAGATCAGCTTGTATAATCCAAAGAAAATATAGATCATATTATGCACGCAATTACTTCTTGAAATTACGATCAGCAGCGGTATATATTCAAGCTCTGTGTAGAGGTATCAATTAGTTGTTACAGTTTGTTTTGTTTATCATTACTATAGCTTTTTTCTCTCCACTAATTTATTCATTACGATACCTTATTCTTGTTAATGTATCTTTCATTCATTTCTTTTCTAACTTTATTGTCTTTTTAATTCAGGGCAAATTGCACGCCATATTTTTGAGTGCAAGAGAAGGATGGCTGCTGCTTTGATCATTCAGAAAGATATCCGTATGCATTTTTCAAGAAAAACATATGTAACTTTGTACAATTCTGCAGTTATGGTTCAGACAGGAATGAGAGGCATGGATGCTCGTAACACACTTAGATTTTTAAAGCAAAAGAAAGCTGCCACCATTATCCAGGTCTTGCACGCTCACCCCTTCTTGCCTACTTATTTGCCCTGCACCGGAAAGACACTCATGATTCCTAGAGGAATCATTGCTTTGGTTCTAGTTTCTACTCTTTTATATGGGTTTTTCTACCATTAATTCACTCTCCATAGTCTACCTATTAATTTTGGAGGAGTTAAGGGCCTAGAATTTTTTATAGAGAAACTACATATCGTCTAACCAGCCTTTTCTCCCCTTTCTTTATGGGAAAAAGTATGACATGTTTTTTTTTTTTATTTTTTCCTATCAACAAACTATAAAATTAACTAACAAGAATTTTCTTCTCTTCTTTTAACAAAAGCTATATAGGTTGCCAGCCAATATCGTGTGTTATCTTTTGGTTTACTAGAATGTGAGTACACTGACCGTCAGGCATAGATCTCAAAATAATTTAACTGCAAACAACTTGTGAAACAGTAGGATATGGTCCTGTGCAACCTGATGTAAGTAGGTTCAACTACCGAATTGAATTTTGGTACAACTATCTACTATATAGCTTCCTGCATCTGGAAAGTAATAGAATCCTATTGATGTAAAAGAGCTGCAACCGAAACCACCCATGCAATTCAATTAGAAACATTTTTATCAGGATGTAGATTACATTATGTTGTGTGAGTGGAATTTTCAAATGAATTTGGCTTAAACAGAGCTATCTACTTGGAAAAGGAACCTATCTGAACCGGGCCCATATTAAAATAGTTGACAATGTATGCATGCTGAACTATGTTCATAAATCATAAATACTTTTTCAAACACAACTCCCTTCATCCTGTGCATCCTATGTTGGCTGACTGTCTATATTTATGGTCCTAGAAGTCATCATTCTAATAATTATTAACATTTGAATTTTCTGCTTAACCAGACAGAGTGCCGAAGATACTTGGCTTCCAATCGATATTCTCGGTTAAAATGGGCTGCAATTAGTCTTCAGTGTGCTTGCAGATCATGTATTGCCCTTGAAGAATTGCGGAAACTGAGAATGGTGAGATTTCACCTGAACTATACTCATGCAAAATCAATTACCTAGAAAAGCAGTTGTACTCAATAGCTCCTCAAATCCTATTGATATTTCATGCAGTGACAATGCTCTCTCTCAGTGGCATGTACAAACTTGTGTTGAAGCTAGAACTGGGCTATAGTAAAGAAATCAAAACTAATTTTACACTAAATATGAGTTTCACGCTTCTGATGCTTAGTACATACTCTCTCCGTCCCTTTTCTTTTGGTATTTTTACTTTTGGCACAACTTTTTAGGTGGTATAATGTTGATAGTTTTTTTTTTTTTTAATTATTTTCTCCTATTTTTTGTTTAGATTTTTTTTATATATATATATTATATTTTGAATGGTAATGGGAAAAAACTGCGTGTAATTAAAGAAAAGTTGCATAAGTTTTGGAACTTCTAAAATTAGATATAATAGTAAAAGATTTGGGACATACGAGTATATTTTATCAGTGTCTTAACATGAATTTGGTTTCCTAGGCTCTTAATACTCTGGACACAAATGACCACCTTTCTGAATAAAACTTTAATGTAGTACAGAAGACATTAGCTAAAACAACTCTTTCATTTGTAAGATTTTACTGGACAAGGTGGTCGCCAAATTTAGTGATGTTGGCCTAGCTTAAGAAAACAGTTGTAATCATGGATATCTAGTAAACAGTAGATATTTTTTTAATGTGATTTCTTAAATGCTTATTCTTGAGCCTCCACTGTTTGCACAAAATTGTAAAGATGACAAATAAAGATGAGAAATTGACTAACACTAATTTCGCTCCAGGCTGCAAGGGAAACTGCTGCACTTCAAGATGCCATAGTCAAGTTGGAAGAGGAATTTCAAGAATTGATGATTCAATTGGAAGAAGAGAAACGCAAAAGGGTATTGCCTTTGTCCTTTCACAATTAACAGTTACATTCACATGGCATTTAGTTGGTGCTTATTCAACTGTATAATATGGAAATATCACATTGCAATCAACATGCATTTATTTTCTTCTACTTCTGTTTTTACTAGGAGGACATTGAAGAAGCCAAAGCAACATTGGAGAAGCAAGTTAAAGAACTAACTTTGCAGCTACAAATGGAGAAAAGCATGAGGGTAAAGTAATGAGCCTTTCACTGTTGATCTTATTGGGGGTACAGATTTGAACCACTTTAATTGTAGAGTGAAAATTTTGATGGTTATTTTGTGGCCAATGTTTAATGGGCATGAAACCATATGTACCAAAAAGCCTCAAACCTTGTGGATTTCTAAATCATAGGCGATAATGCATTGTTCAATGGCAAATGCTCATATGTAGCAATCAAGTTCTTTTAACTAATTTAGTCTTGTGTTTCCTTTTAAAAGAAAAAACAAAGGTTTTGTGGGTTTTTTTTTGGTTACCTTTGATAACTTGTTCAGGATCTTTTGTTTGGGCCTTCTAGTTGTTTTAGGATTACTTTTTGTTGGATTGGGACAGTGTTCTTTGTGGATTGTTATGCTGTCAGAGAACGTGCCATTATGAGTGCAGGCATTTGTTTTAGCTGCACCAACTTCTTTAGCACCAACTTCTTTAACAGCAATTACTTGTATGTGTTGTGTATATAGATAGTCAGGTTGAAATTCAACTGCATCATATGCAAAGGATCACAATAGCATTTTTCCTTTTGACGTTGCCATAACATTCAATCTTCATTTTTAGGTTGATGTTGAGGAAGCCAAAAATTATGAGAATGCTGAATTACAATCTACACTGGAGGAAATGCAAAAGCAAATACAACAGTTTGAATCTGACTTGGAAGAAATGCAAAATTTACAAGTGCAATTTCAGGTATGTCAATGGCTTGTGCTCCGGTGGGCTTGAAAAAAACAAAAATAGAATTGTCATTTACTATACCATATCTATCTCAGGATGGAGGGGATAATAGTCCCAAAACCAATTTGGAAAAGCAAGTTAAAGAATTGACTATCCAATTACAGCAGGAGAAGAAGAAGAGAGTATTATTCTTACCCCTTCTTCCTTCCACAATTAGTTATGTATGATTGTTACTAATTAGATGGTTTGCCCTTACGGGTTTACTTTTGAAAGAATGTGTTGATGATCACTTTCCAGTATCTCTGTAATTGTTAGCTTCTTTCATAAGGTTGACATTGAGGAAGCCAAAAGTCTGGAGATCAAAAGATTACAATCTTCTTTGGAAGAAGTAAAAAAGTTTGGCATAGCCAAAGAGCAGCTGATAAAGGAGCCGGAAGCTGCAAAGATGGTGAGCAATCAAGTTCCGAGTGTAGAAGATGTCTCCATTACCGGAGATGAACTAATTGATAAATTAAGAGCTGAAAATGCAAATCTGAAGGTGAGGTTTTTCTATAAGCCCATCCTTACATGGTGAAATCTGTGTTTGAAGCTTATGAAGTGCAATAAATTGTTTCAGCTTTTAGTAATTTCTCTGGAAAAGCAAGCTTCAGATACAGAGTCAAAGATAACTCAGTTGCAAGCTGAAATTCAGAGGTTTCTATTTCCCCAGATTCTAATTCCGTACAGCATAGCAAGCATTGGCACATTTTTTGTATGGTTTATTGATGGTCTTTAATCATTAACACTAATAGCATTCCCTCTGAACATGTGAAAGATATTAAATGAAGTATTCAGTTGATTTGTATTCATCGCATGCTCATTCCTGTATAATCTTAGGGTGAAAAGCTCGAATGGACACCAAAATTCGGTAAACTCTCCGGCTGGGAAACAGTCTGAACATCAAAATACAGAGGTTAGGATTTTCTGTGAATAATTAGCTCGAATGGTCTATATTTTGTTCTCATTACATTTCTTTCTTTTGGCAGGCAGTGGAGAATGATCCTCACCATGTAAGTGATTTCACATTAGGACAATTTTATGCTAATTTCTGTTATGGCGCTGCAAAACATAAATTGCAACATAAAACCATATTTTATTATGTAATTTGATAATAGAATTTTTTATGACACTACATGCATGCATATAGATACAATTAGAAGCCTATTCAAGAGTCTATGCAAATAGATATATTCCTATAACAATCTACTATTAAGATATAATTTGGATAAATACTTTGGTTAATATTATTTAAATTTGTTAGTTATTATATAAACATATATATTAGATTAGGGTGTTATTATTTGAATTTATCCATTTTGTATCATGTCCATAAATATGCCTTAATTTCATTATAAATAAATAATTCATGAATTCTATATTAGAGTCACGTTTCTCTGGGTACACGCAACCCGAAATGTACCAAGATGTCTCATGATTTTGAGATCCTCTACTGTGTCACAGTTGTCCGTCTATCAAATTTATTTTTCATCGATTTTTTTTTCTAGTTGCAATGAAGTCATATATTTGGTTTTTGATCGTCTTTCCTTATTACTTTCATGGTTCTACTTCCGACTCTAACAGTGTTGAGAGTCCTATTTTTTACCCTAACGGCATTGAGAGTCTTGCTTCTAACTCTATGTTGAGAACCTGTTTCCAATGACTCTATTGAAAACTCTATTTTTTACTCTTTGTTAAGGGCCCTATTTTAGAGTGTCTTTTTTTTTACACTAACTTCATCGCGAACCCTAGTTTTGACTCTTACTCAATAGACTATTATGGCTGCATCACCTCCAATCTCTCTTGGCAAATTCAAGTTGGTTTTTACAATACCATTTAACTTTAAGGAAAGATGTTGAGAGATCTTTTATATTTTGTTACAATTCTTTATATTAGGTTGTTATTATTTGGCTATATTCATTAGATTGGGTAGTTATTATTTGAGTATGTTCGGTTTGTATCATAACTATACTAGGCCCTAATTAATATTAATAAACAACTTAGAAACTCTCCCAAAATGTAACATGGTATTAATGTCAATTCTCTCTGAACACATCCTTGTCGCTCTAATTCTAACCTCCCTAATTTGAGACTAGCTATAATTGTTCCGGAGACATCTTTTTGGATATTTCCGACCTCTTAGTCAAGTTGTTCCTCATTTTGATCAAGTTTTTTATTTGGTATTTAATGTCCGGAGTTTCTTCCTACTAAGATTTAATTTCTTAGGGTATAGCGCCGTCATTGACAAAGGATCACCGGTGCCGCCGCTGCAATAGACGATCGCTGCCACTAGAAATCCTCGTTTGATGGGGCTGCAGTGATAGAGGATCACCGCCACGACAAATGTTCGTGACCATTAAAAATCTTAATTTGGCCAAAACCTTAATTTCCTAGAGTTTCGCACTGCCATTGTGATAGAGGATTGCCAGAGCCGTTTCCACAATAGAGGGTTGTTGTACCAAAAACCTTAATTTGGCCAAAATCCTAACGACGATATAAAATTGATTTGAAAGATCCAAAATTGATGTCCAGTTATGAAGTCCATTTATATTTAAACTCCACATCCGGTCTCTCACTCAAGCTGGCTTATACGGCACCAACTTGAGTTTAAGGGGGTGTGTTGAGTTTTATTTTTGATAAATACTTTTGATAATATTATTTAGATTCTACGTTTACATTTTAAGCATATCTATTAGAATATGATGTTATTATTTAAGTAAAATATAACAATAACTTTATCTCCAAATTGATCTCCTGTTTTCATATAACCTTTCCCGTTTTCGTATGACCTGTGACCACCACTTTTTGAATCTTTGGCCAACTAAAATGATAGTCAACTTTAATATGTTTGATCCGTTCATGGACTACAGGATTCAAAACTATGTGTAGAGCTGCTTGATTGTCACACCATAATTGTGTTAAGGTTGAGATGTGAAAACCCAACTCTGTTAGAAACCGACGAATTCACATAATCTCACATACGCAATGGAATGCGCCATCGCTCGAGACAATCTGATTCTACACTTGATCTTGATACCAACTTTAGAGTCTGCCCAATCAGCATCAGAAAAACATTCAATGTGGTCGTGCTCATAGTTCTTGTACAACAGTCCCTGCCCTGAAGTACCCTTCAAATACCCCAAAATTTGTTCCAAAGCCTCCCAATATTGGATTGTAGGAGCACTCATGAACTGCCTTACCACACTAACCGGGTAAGCTATATCTGGTCTGGTCATAGTGAGATAATTTAATTTACCTAATAATCACCGATATCTTTCATGCTCCTAAACGGCAATTCCTTCCTTTGTATTTGATTCGGTGTCATAGGTGCACCTCATAGTCTAGCTCCAATCTTTCCTGTTTTAATCAACAAATCAAGAATATATTTCCGCAGAGAGAGGAATATACCATTCTTCTTCCGAGATACTTAGATTCCTGAACATATCATAGCTCACCATGATCTTTAGTTTGAAATTGTGACTGGATAAACTCCTTCAAGGCTAAGATGCCACTTGTATTACTATTGATCATAATAATGTCATCAACATATACTATGATAAGAGTAATGCCAGAATCGTTACGACGATAAAATACAAAATGATTTGATTTACACTTTATCATCCCAAATTTCTTAATCGTGTGGCTAAACTTTCTAGACCATGCCCGAGGATCTTCTTTAGGCCATACAATAACTTTTGCAAACGACATATTTTTTCCGACTTCTCATTAGCAACAAACCCCGGAGATTGCTCCATACCGACTTTCTTAACTAAATCATTATAGGTAAAAGCATTCTTTAGATCCAATTGCCGCAATGGTCAATTATGATGTGCAACTAAGGAGATCAAGACACGAACAAAGGTCAACTTAGCTACCGGAGAAAAAGTCTCAGAATAGTCCACACTATAAGTTTGAACATAACCCTTAGCCACAAGTCGCGCCTTAAGATGAGCAATAGAACAGTCATAATTAATTTTAACTCTATAGAGCCACCTGCAACCAATCAATTGTTTCTCTTCCGATAAAGAGACCAACTCTTACGTACCGTTAGAGTCCAATGCATTCATCTCATCAATCATAGCAGCACACCAACTAGAATGAGATAAGGCCTTGGAAAGAGACTTAAGAATAGATATAGAGTCAAATTGGAAACAAACATGATCGATACGATAAGTGGTCACTAGAAATAACTGAGGCAATATGATAGGGACATTGACATTTACCTTTTCGAAAAGCAATAGAGAGGTCCTCAGGAGCTTCGGAAGGTATGGGCGGAAGATCAAAAAACTCTAAAAGAGGATCAGAAACGCATGCGAAGAAGAAATTGGTGCAGGACATAGCATAGAAGACCTGGGATGATGCGAGTAAACATGCGGAAACATAATAGGCTTATATGGAGCTTGAGATGGAGATACATTATAAATTAAAGAATCATCATCCGGAACGGGTGCAGGAGTATTAGAGCCAAAAGGAAAACCAGTGGACTCAAAGAAGACAACATCAGAGAAGACAATGTAATGGTTAAGATCTGGACAATAACACTGATAGCCCTTTTGAACCCGAGAGTACCCAAGGAAGAGACACCTATTAGACCTAGGATCGAGTTTCGTAATGTGTGGTCCAATATCCCGGACATAGCATAGACACCCAAATATTTTAGGAGGAATGGAAAACAAGGATTTTGACGGAAACAGAGTTTGATAAGGCGTCGTACCCTTCAAAACTGATGATGACAGACCATTAATAAAGAAGCATGCCGTAGAAACAACATTCGCCCAAAACATCTCTGGGACCTTCATCTGAAAGAACAAAGCACAAGCAGTCCCAAAGAGATGTCAGCTCTTGCGTTCAACTATCCCGTTTTCATAGGGTGTATCAACACATGACGATTTATGAAGTATACCATGCTGACACATATTGATTGAGTTGATCGTATAAGTATTCTTTGGCATTATCGCTATGTAGGCAACGGACTTTAGCATTAAGTTGAGTTTTTATTTCGGCACAAAAGGCAGAAAAATGAGAAAAGACTTCGAATCGAGATTTCATGAAGTAGATCCCTGTGATTCGAGAGAAGTCATCCAAAAAAGTAACAAAGTACTGAAAACCTAGTTTGGACACCACCGGACAAGGACCCCAGGCATTACAGTAAACTAACTCAAACGGATTACCTGATCTTTTATTTGGTCGAGCAACAGACGCTAAATGAAGTTTATCAAACTGACATGACTCACATTCTAAAGACTTGACATAAGCAAACTTAGGATGTATTTGTTTTAGTAAGGACAAAGAGGGATGACCAAGAAGACAATCAACTTCAAATGGAGTATAGGTGCTAGAACATGCAACGTGAGACTTGACTCGGTAGGTGTAGGGATATCAAGGATATAGAGCCCCCTGACGGATGTCCACTACCAATAATTCTCTTTGTCACATGGTCCTGAAACAAACAATGATCAGGGAAACATGAGATGCAACAGTTTAAGTCATGAGTTAATTTGCTAACAGAAATCAAATTAAACGCAAAGCGATGAATATATAATACGGGGACTGTAACGGAAGACTCAATGTAGGATTAGTAATCCCAACCTCAATTACTTGTGCATTCAAACCATTCTCAAGGGTAATAGATGAATGACTAGACCAAATAGAGATAAAAGGCTCGGGTTACCAGTCATATGGCCAGTTGCTCCAGTATCAATGGCCAACTTGGAAGCAAAGGAAATGAAAAACTTATCGGTGTTACATGATTCAGCGTTTCCACTAATTGAATAAGATGAATTAACCGAACTATACTAGGACACAGTGAGAATAGGCACTCCATCTATCACCATCTTTTTTGTTCCTCCAATTCTGATTCCCTATCTCCCATTATATACACACCAAAAATTCACCAAAATGGACCAAAATTATACCAAAGAGACTACTGCCCCAGAAAAGAGAAGGCAGAATAGAACATAACAGGGCAAAACAAACCAGAACAAGGCAGAACAGACCACAATATGCCCAGACTGTATCAACCAGGAACTGACCAGGGCCGGTGGCGGCAACTCCGGTGACAGAGAAATAAGCCTCCAAAAAAACCTACCCCAAAACCCTAATATTGCTCTGATACCATGTTAACGTAAGCTTATTCCACTAACTTAAAATATATCATATAATTACATATATATGTGCAGCCCTAATCTATTTTGGGTCAAAGCCCACAATATAATTAGATACTAATTAATATATATACGTATGTCTAACACTATACATATATAACAGATATAATATGTACGGATGCTTAGTAGTCACACCTTAATTTTGTAGGAAGATTTAAGTTTTTGGCCAATCTCTTTCATCAATTGTTGTATCCATACCATCTCATGGACAAAGTTATCATGGTGGTTCTATATTCATCTTAACAATGTACGTGAGTTTATTTCACTAGTTATGGTTTCGAAAATTACAATAATATTACATATATATATATATATACAACACTAACTACTTTAGGTCCAGACCCACAATATAATTGGATACTAATTAATATATACATATATCTAATAATATATATAACACTCCCCCTCAAGTTAGAGCATAGATATTGATCATTCCGAACTTGTACAAAGATATTTGAACCGAGGGCTAGCTAAAGCTTTGGTTTATAGATCTTTAATTTGATTTTCTGTTTTCACATGACCTGCGACCGCCACTCCTTTTTGGATCCTTTCCCGAAAAAAATTATGGTCAACTTTAATATGTTTGGTCCGTTCATGGAATACAAGATTCGAAGCTATGTGTAGAGCTGCCTGATAGTTACACCATAATTGTATTGGGGTTGAGATTTGTAAACCCAACTCTGTCAGAATCCAAATGATCTCACATACGGAATGCGTTATCGCTCGACAGAAGCTCTCACAAACATCATCATATATATATACAAGAGACGTTACCTTCCACTGTGTATAAAAATCCTAGATATTCCAACAATTCTTTAACAATATCAAAGTGAGTAATTAAATTCACTATGTCATATTCAATTGAATTCTTAGTTTGAAGGATTAGTCGGGAGTCATTTCGCAACCAATCATCATAACATGCATCAGTAACCAAGGAAGGATCCTTATCCAAATGAGTAGCTTTACCAATCCTCCGAAGATACATCTTGATGGTCTTAAACCAATCAAGATAGTTTGATCCATTTAGCTTGTATTCAGTGATTCTAGAAATAATTGGCACTCATGAATCACAATCTTTTCTGTCCTCCTAAATCTGATTTTCGATCTCCAATTATATAGATAACAAAATTGCACCAAAAACAACAAAACTGTACCAAACAGAACACCCCCAGATGCACTGCCCAGAACTAACTCTATCCCAGATGAATTTCCGGCGGCGGCGGAGGTGCTGACTTTGACAAAGGGGTGACAGTCAAAACCTGACCCAAAATGTGTGTAATCTCGCACGCCTGATAGAGAGGTAAGAGAGGCCGGACAACATGAGAGGAAAGAGGAGGGTGACCAGATGACTCGAATAGAGGAAATGATCTGATTCCTCCACCGGACTGTACTTGCATATATATATATACATAGTTATAATTAAAAGTCAATATAAATCCTATTCAAATGTAAATCTTTATAAGCTATATAGTTTTCATGCAATCAAATGTAGCAGTACATTTTTGTCCAGGTATTCTAGATCCCCTTTTAAGAAGTTAAATCAACCATAACCATTTTATGTCAAGCCATGCTTACTCCACATCAATCTGAAATTGCTGTTTATCTAACCTATGATGAAATATATGACAATAATACAATCTATATTTCACAAAATGTGCAAAATATTTTACATTGGTATGCTTTATATGCATGTTTTGAATCTGGTTATGCAGGATCCTCAGAGTGCAACTCCCACCAAGAAATACGGAACTGAATCTGATAGCGAGTTGAGGAATTCTCATATTGAAAGGCAACGGGTATGTTTTTCCTCTTGGCTTTAAGTTTTTTTTTTTTTTTCCATGACATGGAGTTTTTGTGCCGAAAATCTTTGTGATGCTTTAATCTGGGGGTCAAGAAAACATATACCAGACTTGATGAGTGTGCCTAGGCAATATTTCAATTCTCACCAATCTTCCTAAGATAGAAAGATCTCAATTCTATCACTCTTCCAAATACAGGAGTACCTAGAAAGATTTCAATTCCCATCACTCGTCCTTTTATGGAATTAACGCGAGTGGTTTCTTCTACATGTTGTAATTTTCTTTCAACCACCCCAGTGTGTGGACAAGAACGTTGATTTTTAATGCCATGTTGATCGAAGTAATTGGGGAAATACTTAGAAGATCAACATTCTTAAGCATTATCATCACAAAGTGTAAGAATACAACAACAAAATTGATTGTAAATTTCAACACAAAATGAACATAAGATGGAAAATATTGTAGAGAAAACCAAATCGTCTTGGATAAATCATCTACAAATATAAAAAATATTGAAAACCTAATTTGGGCTTTACTTGAGTGGATTAAAAAATCTTTGTTTGAAAGAGCATAAATGGTTTTTCAACTCCTTATCTGATTCAAGGAAAGAAGGAAAATTATGATGCTTAGCTAGCTGATAAAAGTCATAGTGTGAGTTAGATATTAACTTTTAATTTGGAACATCATCATAACTGAGAATCATATCTTTTTATTATTCTAATTTTTAAGTTGTACAAAGTAGAATATATATGTACAACACATATGGGCCTTTACTAATCCTATTAATGGGCTGACCTATAAGCCCAACTAAACACTAAACACATATAATAAAAAATTATCCAACACTCCCCCTGAAGCTGGAGCATATAAATCGTATGTTCCAAGCATGTAACAAATAAACTCAGTTCGAAATCCTTGAAGAGCCTTCGTTAGGATGTCAGCAAGTTGGTCACTGGATGAGACATGATCAGTGACTATACACCCCATAATACCTTCTCTCGAACAAAATGACAAACAATTTCAATGTGTTTCGTTCACTCATGAAACACTGGATTAAAGGCAATGTGGAGCATAACTTGATTATCACGTAACAATTGCATCTTTGAAAATTCACAAAACTTAAGCTTATGGAGTATTTGCCTGATCCACATTAGCTCGCAAGTAGCTAAGGCCATGGCGGGATAATCTAATTTAATGCTAGACCGAGCAACGGCATCTTGTTTCTTATATTTCATGACACGAGGTTACCTCAAACAAAGACACAATATCCAGAGGTAGATTGTCTATGAGTTGGAGATCATGCCCAATCAGCATCTGAATAGCCAATAATGTCAGTATGACCATGGTTAGTATACAACAACCCTTTCCCCCGTGAACTTTTAATATATCGCAAAATACGGATAACTGTATCCCAATGAGAGTCACACGGAGACTGAAGAAATTGACTCACAACACTAACTACGAACGAGATATTGGGTCTAGTGATCGTCAGGTAATTAAGCTTACCAACCAATCTTCTATAGCGTCCAGGTTCAGTTAGGGGCTTCCTTGTCCTGGAAGAAGCTTTGAATTGGGATCCATCGGAGAATCTACTGGCTTACAATCAGTCATGCCTGTCTCAATTAATATGTCCAGAACATACTTCTGTTGTGACAATACAAGACCTCTCTCGGACTGAGCCACCTCAATGCCCAGAAAATATTTAAAGGGTCCCAAGTCTTTTGTTTGAACATGATTATGTAAATACTGCTTCAACTTGCCAATGCCATCTAGATCGTTGCCAATTATGATGATATCATCTACATAAACAACCAAGTATATGCACTTCCCTTCCAATGCATGTATGTAGAAAACGGTATGATCTGACTCACTCCGTATCATCCCAAATTCTTGTATGACATGGGTAAAACACCCAAACCAAGCGCGAGGTGATTGTTTTAGGCCATAGAGAGATCTACGAAGCCAACACACAAGAGCGGACACCCCCTGAGCAACAAACCAGGGAAGTTGCTCCATATAAATCTCCTCTTAAAGCTCACCATATAAGAATGCATTTTTAACATCTAATTGATGCAACATCCACCCATGTGTAGTGGCCATGGACATAAATAAGCGAACAAATGTCATTTTGGCAACAGGAAAAAAGGTCTTGGTATAGTCTTGACCAAATACTTGAGTAAACCCCTTAGCAATAAGTCTAGCCTTACAACAATTCCTAGAGCCATTAGGACCGACTTTGATAGCATAAACCCAACGGCTTGCAACTATAGATTTTTCGGGAGAAAGTGGGACCAAATCCCAAGTTTCATTAGCTTGCAAAGCACTCATTTGGTCCACCATAGCCTGATGCCATCCTGAATGAGCCAATGCCTCACCTAATGTAGAGGGAAGTGACGCAGAATCTAAGGTAGAGACTATAGTATAATATGAAGGAGACAAACGTTGATAACAGAGAAAGTGGTAAACCGGATATGGATTACGTGTAGAACGATTACCTCGATGTGGAACTGCAGGATCAGGAACAACAGGTGGTACCGAATGTGAGTCAACAGTTGGACTAAGGGCTAACACAGGAGGTGCAGAAGCAGAAATAGGAGCTTGAGAGAGCCATGTGCAGCGACTATAGACCTGGATAGTGCAATAGAAGGCAATAGAGATGAATCTGGGTAAGTCAGACTTCCACTCAAAGGGGACGGAAATGGTGGGACAGATGAGAAAGACGGAAGAAAAGTAGATGTGGTTGAGAAATATAAGGAGGACTCGAAGAAACTAACATCAGAAATAAAGTAGTAACAACCGGCAGATGGGGAGTAACACTTATATCCTTTTTAAACCCTAAAATACCTAAGAAAAACGCATTTGAGAGCTCGTGACGTAACTTATATAGACCAGGAGAATGGTCATGAATGAAACACGTATAACCAAACATAAGTAAAGGCAGAAAATATAATGGTTCATTTGGGTGAAGACAGGTAAACGGAATACATTAATGCAAAGCAGAAAAAGGCATCCTATTGATAAGATATGAAGCAGTCAAGATCGCGTCGGCCCAAAAATGCAAAGGAACATAATGGTGTAAGAGAAGTGTACGAGAAGTCTCGATGAGATGACGGTTTTTTTGTTCTGCCACCCCATTTTGCTGAGGAGTGTATAGACAAGAAGATTGATGGATGATTTTATGAGATGAAAGAAAATCACTGAAGGGTGTAGACAGGTATTCTCGACCGTTGTCACTGCGCAAGACTTTGATAGAAAAGTTAGATTGAGTTTTTAGATAGTGTACGAAAAGGCTCCCAAATATTTGAATGAACTAAAGCAAAAGGCTCAGATGCCCTATATTGACGTGCTTAGGGAAGGACACACGGGACTGTTTTCCAAGCTCACATGACTCACAAGGCAAAGATGACAACTGTGATAGACGCGTGACAAGTAGACGAATTTTGGACAAACTGGAATGATCTAACTGCTAATGAAGTAAATCTGGAGAAACTGTGGCAACAATAGTGAGAGGATCCGGAGAAATTGGAATGGAAGGTACGGTAAAGTGATAAAGCCCATGTGACTCACATCTGGCACCAATCGTTTATCCCGTACTACGGTCCTGAATAGTAAAAGAATCGCCATTAAATATGACTGAACAATTCAGAGACTTTGTTAATTTACTAATGGACATAAGACTAAGAGGGCAATTAGGAATATAGACTACAAAATCAAGAGATAAACGTGGTAAAGGATGAGTTGTACCAATGGTTTGGGTAGACACATTAGTACCATTCGGTAATGTAACAGAAGGTAAATAATGAGACTTTTTAAAGGTAGAGAATAAACGTGGATTACCAGACACATGATCAGAAGCACCAAAAGTAAAAAACCCAAGGATTCAAAGATAAGGAGGATTGAGATATACTAATGATAGGCGTGGACTCACTAGACGTAGCAACAAACATGATGGTAGAGGACTGCTTTAAAGCTTGGAACTTAAGATATTCCTCATAATCTGCATCGTTCAAAGTCATAGAGTCGGACGCACTAACAACATTGGTATGTGATTGACGACGATTCAACTTAAAACATTTTTCTCGAGTGTGACCCCAACGATGACAATAACTGCAGCGAGGCCAATTTTTGCAATTCATTCCATTAGTTGCTCCACAGGATGTCCTGGACATAGGTTTAGGAGTATGCGATGGTCCACACACAAGAACAGATTGATCATGAGACGTCATGGATTCTAAAATTGTGGAAGACACCCGAAGAAACCTATAGAAGACATCATCAAGGGTTGGACCAGTAGATTCCGAAAGAATTTGGTCCTGAACAGAACTCATTTCTGGGCTGAGTCCAACAAGTGCGCAAACCATAAAAAGGTGTTGCGCTGTTCGAGATCCTTTGCGGCATTAGTTGCAAGTGGAAAGGCATAGTTATACTCTACCTGAATAGATGCTAACCTCCCCAAGTACTCGGGCATTGTAAGACCTTGATGATTAAGGTCTACAAGTGAAGAGACAACTTAATACAATCATTTGAAGTCGTTGGTGAAAAAAAGGGCAGCCTCTTTTCACAACTCATAGCAGCTAGTGAAATTTGTGAAAATAGGATGCAAAGTCACGTCAATACACTGCCAAAGTAGGCTGAGTAAAAGCGCGTCTACCCTCTCCCACGCAGCCTTCTTGTCCCCGGGAATACTTCCAATTTCTGTGATGAGATGGTCCGATAATCCTTGTCCATTACACCAAATGTGTACGGCTTTTTACCAAGGGGCATAATTTGATCCACCATGTAATTTAACCTTGGTTATGGTAGGAGTACCTGACAGAGTGCCAAGAAAGAACTTGCACTGGCCATTTTGGAGCAGCCCTATGGACACCCCAAAATAAATTTCACGAGCAACTAGGACAAAATTTAGACCACCAATTAGAGACTAATTAAAATCAAAGGGTGATAAAGGCAAGAAGAGAGAAAAACATCCGAGACGCCTCAAAAGATAACAAAACCGGCATCAATTCTCAGAAACAGCGGCGGCAATGATTTCATTGTAGGACACAAACCGGTTGAGAGCAGAAGAAGAATCTGAAGAATCTGAGCGTGCTGAGAGCAGAGGAAGAATCTGAGCAGTCAATCGCTAGCATCCGACGGCGACTAAGGAGTGAAATCGTAGAGAATGGCTCTGATGCCATGAGAATCGTATATTTTTATTATTCTAATATGTAAGTTGTACAAAGTAGAATATATATCTACAACACATATGGGCATCTACTAATCCTATTAATGGGCTGAACTATAAGTCCAACTAAACACTAAACACATATATAAAAGATTATCTAACAATAACATAATTCAATGCTGGATGACCAAGGTGACAATGTTCAGTGAGTGAAGTAGGGATAAACAAGCACTAAGAGATTGTAATTTACTGAAATAATACATTAGAACATTGACCGTGAAATCCTTGGTAATAACCTAATTGGGAAGAAAGCATACACAACTATTTAATTGGCTTGTAGCTTACTCACTGAGATGAGATTAAAAGGAATGTTTGGGAAAATAGTGTTGATTGAAGAGTGAGTGAAGAAGAAACAAAGAAATAGCAACACCTTGAATAGAATTGTAGGACCCATCAATAAAGGTTGTTCTGTTTTCCGGAATGTGATATCCAAGGTTGTTCTATAGAGTTGGGAACAGAACAACTTGTTGGGAGACCTCAATGAACTATGATGCCATAAAATTAAGAAGATGTGTACGTTGGGATTTTTTGAAATCGAAGGCTAAAAGAAAAGAGTAGCAAAATGCTAGGTTCCAATCAATTTGAAAAGGATATGTCACAATATTTTGACTCAGAATGAAAAGGAGGGGGAAGTGTGTGTGAGAGAGAGAGAGAACCAACCTGTCACTGTCAGCGGTTAGTTTCCAGTACATGGCCCTCATGCAATGCTGCATGAATAAATCTCTGGTGACACTAACTAGGCTTCCTGGTTTGGATGGTGTGGTTGATTTCTGAGTTAAGGTGGAAACAGGTAATGGGTTGATTAGGAAAAAAAATTAAAAAAAAAAATGAAAGAAAATATTGTTGGGTGGTATTTTTTATAGATATAGTGTCTTTGATACGATGAAACATGAGTTAAACTAAGTCATTCTTAAATGTAGTCTAACATAACAATAATACATATATATGCACAACTTAGAAGAGATGAAAGAACACAAAGAAACAAAGAAATAGAGAAATAGAGAAAAAGAGACAATGTGGACATGAAATAAGAAGCTCAACAGTTCATGATAGAGACTATTATGTTGCCTGCAAACTGAATATGAGTCCGAAGTTGGCCAGATGATCCTCATTTAATCACCTTTAACAAATCCAAGTTAACCGCTCTTTCAAATTATTTGCCAATTAGTTTCCAACAATGATAAATAGATAAGAGAGAGCTTATCTCCTTGTCTAAAATCTTTGTGATGCTTTTAAAATGTGCGTCCGTTATTCATTTATCATAATTTAAGATGGCTATAAGGAAATACCTTTCATCCATGATATTCATTTATATTCGAATTCCGTTTGTTGAGGATGATTATAAGAGTAGACTAGTTGACTTTATCAAAAGCCTTTTTAAAGTTGAAGTATAGAATGTTTCAGAATTCTATTTTCTTAATTAAGCTAATTACAATTTACATTATTACATGTATATAATAAGACTAAATACTCTCAATCTGGGCCTGGACCACTAATCTACAATTATGTACTAAATAAGATATATACATGTACATATACATATATATATATATATATAACACCCCCTCAAGCTGGGTATTGAATAAAGCAACCTCTTCCTTAAAACAATAGACCGAAATTATTTTTGAAGTATTTGATTAACACTGAGTTTTGAGCTGCGTATTGAATAAAGAACGCATCATATAGATACTTTACCTATTATTATTCGTACTAACATTGAGACTTTCTTAAATTTCATCTACTTCACCATTTCTAAGTTTTACTGTTGTCTTGACACCTCTATCAAGTTGATTGGACAAACTTCTGACCATTTTCTATGAAGTACATTTTCTTCTCATGTACTTCTGGACACCAGAGCACCATGAATAAGTTAGCTTTAAGCTCTTCACCTTGGTCTTTTGTGTTGTTCACTTGATGAATAAATTTATCTTGCTATCGGTTTTTCTTAATTCTGCAATTTCTCTATATGACCCCATTCTTTTGTTGTTTCAGGAGAATATTGATACGTGTATCAGGTGCATTGAAAATGATCTTGGATTCAGTGAAAAAAAACCAGTTGCTGCGTTTACCATTTACAAGTGCCTTATTAACTGGAAATCATTTGAAGCTGAGAAAACTAACATATTTGATCGACTTATTCAAATTGTAGGCTCTGCCCTAGAGGTATATTACTGAAAATTTTAATTTTATTTAAGCACTCAAAGTTGTTCATTGTTTTGTTAGATAGAACATTGTATTAGAAAGAGTGAAAGATGGTTGAATATTGTGTTTTCATCGTCAGTCATTTTATGCATGTTGCTAACACCAGACTGTAAGTCCAGTTTCCTTCTAGAGATTTGTGTACCTTATTTAAATGTATCCCTTTTGATTGAGGGTGTGGGGGTGGGGAAGAAAGATATTTTATAGATAATAAGATTGGAGAATTAAAATAAAGGAAACAGAACATTGAGAGCTGGGAACAAACAGAGGGATAGAAATTGGGTGGGAATCTAGGGCCTAATAAATCTTAATTACATCCAAATTGAGATTTGTGCATTTTCTTTAAATGGATCGAAACTATAGGATTAACTTTTGAATCACTTGGGTTATAAACTTCTTATTATGTTCCTTGTGTTCTTTCTATAATAATGGTTCTAACAGTATAAACTGATATCTGGATTTAGATTATACTCATTCTTAACTGCATGTACATAAATTAACATGATATTATTGATCCCCCTAGACATACTATTTAGAAAATATTCAAATGTTCTGAATTTTTTCATCTTTCGGAGGAGTGGAAGCCATGTCTGGGGGTTACAAGATTTAATGAAGCTTTAATACATGACTTATGAAGGGAGTTATAAGGAAGATTTAATACTTAAGGTAGGTTACAAGGTGATTTACTCTATCGAAATTAAGGTAGGTTACAAGGTGATTTAATGCAACATTTACTAGGCTTCATGGAGTTAAAAGGTGGAGAGTTTTGAAGGCAAACCAACACGGGAACCCAAACTTTGAGGCTTCTGACTGGCCCAAATCACACGGCCGTCCAGAAGTTCATAACAGATACATCATTATCTAAGGACATTTTATTTTCAGATTCTGAAATCAAGTTAACTGAAATATTTAATTCACCAATTCATTTAGCCCAAAGTATAAAGCTGTTCTAATCAAATCCTTTTTTCTTTTTTCTTTTCACAACGAATAGATTATATTAAATATCATTACATATAATTGCACAAAAAACTATTGATAAAACTAAATGCTTTTCTCCATGTTATTAACTAAATGATCTTGGTTTGTAGGATGTATTGGTTACAAACTCAGTCTCTAATCAGTTAATGATATTTTGGAAAGTGGCTTAATATCTTCTTAGTTTTCACCAAATCTAATGTACGTCATCCCTTTTGTATTTCCATGGCTTTCACTAAATATAATCTACACTGTTTTTCTGCATTGAATTGCAGGATGAGGCAGACACTAAACGTTTGGCATACTGGCTTTCCAACGCTTCAACTTTGTTTTTTTTACTTGATCGAACTTTGAAAGATCCCTCAGCAAAACAGCCAGCCTCATTTTTTGAAAGAGTGGCCCAAGTATGAGGATTAAATAGTTTTCGTCTAGTAATTTTTGTCAGTAGTGAAATACACTGATAGATAAATTCTCCTTTGTTTTTCCATATAAATTTTTACAAGTGAAAATTTCAGGGGTTCCGGTCTTCCCCTGCAATTAATATAGGCGGATTTGATGGAGTCCAACAGGTTGAAGCCAAGTATCCAGCTATCCTTTTCAAGGAGCAGCTAGCTGCTTATGTTGAGACAATTTACGGACTTCTTCGAGATAATGCCAAGAAGGAGTTGTTTCAACTGCTTTCTTTAATACAGGTAACAAGAATTTTCTTTTGAAAATATAATGCTATATTATTATTTTTTTTAATATAAATTTATTATTCATATAATTTTTCTTTATACGTCATGTTAATTTTAGGTTGGTATTTATATTTCACTGCTTAAGACATTCATGATGTTAATTTTTCTGCCCTTTCTGCATTTAGACCTTGAAGTGTACATTCTATAACTTTTCCGGTACTAAATAATTGTGTATTAAATGAAAAGTTATTTGGAATAGGTGATTGATGAATCTCCACTGTTCATCCTTATTTGGAACTTTTTGCACTTGATTTTTTGATGAATCTCCCACTGTTCAGCCTGTGGTATGACCTCATGGGCAGTATCCATTTATATTTATGCAATGATCAGGTACCCAAAGCACTTGTGGATAGCTCTTCTGATCAATCTTCGAAGGACAGTTCTATGAGGCACTGGCAAAGCATCATTGATGTATTAAATGGGTTTCTTAGCTTGCTCAAAGATAATTTTGTACGTACAACTAACTTCATTCTTTCTCAATTCATTTACTGCAATTCTCTGACACTTTCATTTCAGGTTCCTTTGGTCATTGTTCAGCACCTCTTCACAGATATTTTCTCTTATGTCAATGTTCAGCTCTGTAATAGGTATCTCTTGGCCCCGCCCCCTACATTTAGTGTTTTTTCGGTACTTCTGGGCTCACAACTTAAGAAACCTTGTTCCATTTTTTTGTCAGCATCCTTCAGCAAAAGGAGTGCTGCACAGTTAGTCATGGGGAATATATAAAGGCTGGTTTAGCTGAATTACAACTTTGGTCTGGAAATTCAAATGAGGTCTAATGTCTTGCTTGTAGCTTTCAATAAGTTGTTTAAAACATTGTATTTAAATTGTTTCGAAAATTCTGAGTTGTACTTAACATTGTCTATCTAACAGCATGCAGGCTCGGCATGGGATGAACTAAAACATGTTCAACAGGCTGTAAGACTTTTGGTATGTAGTGTTCATGCTTCGAAAAGCATTCTAGTACCCTAGTAGTAACAATATGCAAGGGTTATATACGAGTACCCGCAATGTTGGATTTTTCTATTTAGTTTTAAGGTTTAGTATGGAAATGGTTGACAAGTCCACAAAAAAGTAAAAACAAATAAAAAGAACAGCTGCTATATTTAACCATTGAAATATTGGTATCTCAAGAATTGAAGTTAGTCAATCTATTATCCAAGCATTATGTTGAATGAGCCTTCTTATTATTTTTTTTTTTCTGACACAAATGATATTAATGTGCGGATTCTGATAATTAAATTATTTCTTGTGTGCAGGCGTTACAAGAAAAATCAGAACTGAACTTAGATGATCTTACAACTGAGCTGTGCCCTGTAAGTCCATTGTGTATTGCTATCTTTCTTATGAATCACTCATTTAAAACTTATTTCTAAAGATTTTTATTTATTATTTCATCTTTGTGTTTTTTTTTTTATTTCTGAAAATGGATAGTGGCAAAAGTTTATATTTATCATGATTATATCTTTTCATACGTTCACCCCGACAAAACATATACAAAGAATTGAAAACTCCCAGACCTACATACTTATAATGTTTATTCTCTCTTGTAAATACACTAGAATTTTAAATCTGAATCTAATGTTGGTAATTAACACTATAAATGTATCCTCCTTTACACTATATTATCGAAATATTTTTACACAATATTATTTGTTGGCAGTCATTGAGCCATCAACAGCTTCATAGGATCTGCACTCTCTATACAGACGAAAATTCAAGCACGGGAATTGTGCCTCAAGATGTAAGTCTACCATGCATTTTAGTTGCGCTACTACTATAATCTAATCCAGACTGCTTCAAATACTTATTTCAATTCATCAATCAATATTTGTAACAGGTCATTTCTAGCTTGAAGCCAGATTCAGATGACTCCAATGAAGCTGGCAAGGATTCATATCTGTTGGATGAAAATTCAGGGTATCGTAGCAACAGAACAGCCTTACTGAAAGATAAAAAAACGAATTACAATTACATAACCTCACCTCTTTTGTTTTTTCCTTTGGTTTTGCAGCACCCCGATGTCAATCCAAAATATTAGCAATTCTATCAATGATTTAGATTTCACCGGTGTAAAACCTCCAGCAGAGCTTCTTGAGAATCCAGGCTTTGAATTTTTGAAAGGATAAGGCTTTTTTGCACGTATATAGCATTACTCTTTGCCTGTCTATACCATTATATATGTATATGCATCTGCGCAGCTAGAGGCTTTTGTATAGTTGGTCTGTCTAGATCTTCATGGCCTTCCTCATGAACTTTTGCTAGGTTTTGTCAGATGGAAGCAGTGAAGCGTAGTATAATTCTGCCTCGCTGGTTCTCGAATGTCTTTATTTATATTGTTAGAGTCTGGCAGATAAGAGTGTTAGAAGAATAGCCTCTCCTGCTTCAGTTGTAAACAAAAGCATTTACTATATATAAATTCATTTTGTCTTCTTGATGAAGTTATTGTGCCGAATTAGAATTGCACAAAATTGAAAGTTCAGGATTTACCAATTATGGGGTAAAGAGATATTGTTATAAGCATGGTTGAATGAGCTATACTTTGTATAATTAACTATCTAAATGGATGCCCTATTTTATAAGTATCTACTTTGCTCCATAAATAATTTTATTAAGTGAATTTACTTTGTTCAATACCCTCCTTTGTTCAATAGTCTTTCTACTTTGTAAACAGAATTAGTAGTTTGTTTCTTTTACTTCAAAACTCCAAGTTTCTACTATTTGAACTATGTATTTTTTAAAAAAAATATATTTTTTTCTCTCACAAAACATCTCATCATACATTATTTTAATACCAAATCTAAACCAAAATTTTCTCAAACCCATCAAAAGAAACATACCAGCGTTTTTTACTTGTTCAACATTCTACTTTGTTTGGTGGACATTCTAACATATTTTTCTCTAAACATGTACAATATGATCAAGTTATAAATTTTAATATCAAATGTTTGATATTCTTTAGGAGTAGTTTAGGAATTTAATTTTATTTATTTATAGATATTTTAATTATAGAAGTTAATATCTTATATTGGGAAATGAACAATTTATCCATAGTATTTTATCCATAATATATAACTTTACTTATTATCTTCTCTCTGTAATAAAAATGATATTTGAAATATACCAAAAATGACATATATGCTATATGTTGCTTATAGAAATGGGTTAAGAATTTTTTGTTGAGTTTTTAATAACATGATTTTTTTATTTTTAATTAATAGTTTTTTTAAAAGAAAAAAAAATTGGATTGATAGAATCTATTTAAATCATACAAAATTTCTCATTTATATTTTCATCCACATATTTAATATAATATAGTAAGATATATATATTTTTTTAATAGTTTCGACAATAAAATAATTTTCACAATTAATTGAAATTCTTTCATCATTTTAATAATATGCCACAAAGTACACAAATCCAATAAACAAACTTTATTATATAATTTTTTTTTAATTTTTATTGATTTTTTTTATTGAGGTTGAATATTTCTTCCTTAATTTTACCGTTTAATTCAATTTTAGAATTTCTTCAATCACATCTTCAACCCCGTTCTTTCTCTCCCCACGTTGTGCCTCTGTCGCCGCCACCGAGTATTTATCACCACCACTGAGGTTAATGAAAATCAAAGGATCGTAGTACACCAAAATTCTGAAGATGAGATGTCACTTGGTGATTCTCAAGAAAAAAATTTAACCAACTTTGTCGAGTCCAATGTTGATGAGATAGATCCGTATGCCATATACGATCTAGCGTCAAAGTAGTATCCCACTTTTAGTCTTGGAATGATTTTTAGCTCGAAAAAAGAATTTAAAAATGTGGTTCAATTATCAAGCTATCAAAACAATGAGAAGTTTAAGATTTTTTAAAATTGATAGAAGAAGAGTTTATGTTCGATGTGCCGTTAAGAATTGCAATTAGAAAATGAATGCATTAAAGGTGAATGATCAAACATCTTTTCAACTCAGAACATATAATTGCAACCATGATTGTATGTGCGACTTGAATGTAAAGAATGTTAAGTCGACATGACTTGCAAAGAAATATGAGTCGTTGTTTTGATCCATATCCTAAACGACGTATAAAGGAATTTAGGACAGACGTCACATAAGACATTAGATGTAATATATCCCAACAACAAGCATGCATAGCGCATAAATGGGCACTAAAAGCAATTGAAGGTGATGCCGAAGAGCAATATAGAAAATTGTGGGACTATGCCGAAGCTTTACGACAGTCTAATCCTTGGTCAACTATTTTGATGCAATTTGAAGGCGAATTTTTTAATGAACGGCGCAGATTTAGTAAGTATTGCATATGTTTGAAATCGCTTGTGTGTGGGGTTTCAGTCTGGATGTCGACATATCATCAGGGTTGATGGTTGTCACCTAAAAGGTCCTTGTCAAGACATTCTATTAACGGCTATTGGAATTGATCCCAATAATGAATTGTATCCCTTGGCATATGCTATTGTTGGGAGTGAGACTCACGAAGCTTGGGAATGGTTTTTTACTCTGTTTAGAGAAGATTTGAACATAGAGCACGATTGTTATACTTTTATACCTGACAATAAAAAAGGTCTCATGCAAGCCACGGAAAAGTTTTTCCCTCAATGTGAAAAAAGATTTTGTGTTTGGCATTTGTATGAAAACATGAAAACAGCCGGATTTAAAGGTCATGCATATAAAAGATTGATTTGGATGGCTGCCAATGCAAGTACTATCCCCGAGTTTGAGGAGGTGATGAAAGAAATTTAAGAGTTGGATCTGAAATATATTGATTGTCTTGCCGACAAACCACCGTCTCAATGGTCAAGATCATATTTTGCTACATTTTGTAGATGTGATATGATCCTGAACAATTTATGTGAATCACAATAGTATAATATTAGATGCAAAAGGAATATCGATATTGCTGATGTTTGAATGAATTAGAAGATTCTTATTAACACGACTTCAGAAGCAAAGGGAGATGGCACATAGAAAATAGGGGATATGCACCTTTGCCCGAATATAGTAAAAATTATGGAGAAAGATATTCAGACGACTTCTTCTTGCACACCCATTAAATTTGATGATTGGCGTTACGAGATTTATTGTTCGGATGGGAATCGATTCGCTATTGACATTCTACAAAAATCCTGCAGTTGTAGAAAATGGGAGTTACGTGGGATCCCATGTCGCCATGCAATTAGTGCTATACATGGACAATAATTAAATTCGGAGGACTTTGTTGAAGAAATATACAGTGTTGAGACATTCAATAAAGTGTATTTGTATTCTATTGGCGCAATGGATAGTAAAAAAATATGGCCAAAAACTGAATTGCCTCCACCGCTTCCTCCCAGTGTTAGACGAGTTGTTGGAAGGCCTTAGAAGGCTAGGAGACGTGACCCCAATGAAGTAATGGAGAAAGGTCGATCACCAGGAAAGAAGGTCCATAATAGTACTTTGCCAAGACAAAAAGTAAAAAGAACTTGCAAATATTGTGGGCTTGTTGGACATACTTTCAAGGGTTGTCAAAAGAGAAAAGCATGTTGATCGAGTCAAATTTCATGGCGGACAGAATTCAACATGCTGAGGAGTTCTTGCAGAAATATGATATTTTGGCGCAAAGTCAAAGTATTTCCACTTCACAAACTCAACAAGCTGAGACTCCTATATCACAAGCTTCAATCGCAAAGTTAACGGTACGTAACTTATGTTGTTTATTGATATATTGGTATACAAATTAACTTTTCAGTTACAATATATTCTTACATTTTGTATGACATAGGTAAGAAAAAGAACTTTTGAAATGGGTGCAACAAATGAAGGTAGAACATCAAGTGGGACACATTAAGAGAAATTGTGATTTTTGGGCAAGCTTATGTGGATTTGATATATGCTATTGTAATTGGATTTGTCTTTTGTGATTGTGGGATGGATTTGCCTTACGTTATTGTGGAATGGGATTTGACTAATCTTATTGTAGATGGATTTGAATTACTTTGATGTTGATGAATTTGGATTCTCTTGTTGAAGTAATTAATATTGTTACTTTTGTAGGTGTTATTTTTAGATACCTTAATTTGAAAATTATTTATACAAAAAAAGTTAAGAACAAACATGGGCTTGTTTTACAAAACACGAGCGTGTACATCAAAATTTTGAATGAGTTATATAGGCGTACACGGGCGTATTTCATACCAACACGGCCCTGTTCAAGAAATATAATAGTGCAGGGAGGTTAGACACGGCCATATCGATGGACATGTACGCAAACACAGTCGTGTTGGAATCAAATACTACTGTCTTAATATTATATAATGAGAATGTCACGGTATAGAATACACGACTGTGTGGAGGTCCACACGGCCGTGTTTAACAAACATAATAGTGCGAGGGGTTAAACACGGCCATGTAGATGGCCGTGTTACTTTATAACACGGGCGTGTTAATATTATAGAATGGGAATGCACAATATAGAATACACGGCCGTGTTCTGGAAACAGAATAGTATTGGGGGGGTTAGACACGGCCATGTTCATTTCCGTGATGTTCAACACGGCCGTGTCTCTATTCCACACGGTTGTGTGTGAATTACAGAATGGGCAAGGACGTTATAGGTAACACGGCTGTGTTCGTCGCAGGTTAGGTTTTTTTAAAAATCTGAATAAGTCGAACACGGGAGACAAAACATCAAATCTCTCGTGTTTGAAACTTTTAAGCGACTCTTTGGACGATGACAACGATGTAGGCGGCGTCGGATGACGACGGACAACGGCGGTGGATGATGGTGGCAACGGTAGGGTTTTTTGTTGCGATTTGGGAGATTTGGGGAAAAAAAAGGTTTTTATAGTTGGTTTTTAAGGTTTTGTTGAATTTTTTTGAACAATATGGTATAATATTTTGTTCTTGAGGTTGTATTGTAATTTTTTATAACATTCAACTATATTTGTTGGATTTTTTGAACAATGTGGTGTAATACTTTGTTCTTGAGATTGTATTGTAATTTTTTACAACATTCAACTAGATTTGTTGGCTTTTTTGAACAATATGGTATAATACTTTGTGTTTGAGGTTGTATTGTAATTTTTTACAACATTCAACTAGATTTTGTTGAATTTTTTGAACAATATGGTATAATATTTTGTTCTTGAGGTTGTATTGTAATTTTTTTAAACATTCAACTAGATTTTGTTGGATCTTTTGAATAACGTGGTATAATACTTTGTTCTTGAGGTTGTATTGAATTTTTTTACAATATTCAACTAGATTATTTTGGATTTTGAAAATTTTTTATATTATAATTTGTCTTGTATTTAGTTTTTGTGAACTCTTATTTGTTAATTTTAAGGGAGGACACCTGAGGGAAAGAAACAACAGGGTGGCAAGAGCGTTGCAGGTTTATCGAGGGGCAATACAAATTTGGATGTAAATGCTCAATATTTGATTTTTCAAGAACAAGAGTATGTTGAACGGCATGAGCGTTTGCAGAATAAAACTTTTTTGACGAGTAAGTATATCGATAGCAAAGTATTGGAGACTCTTGGCATAGAAGGGGTGTAGAGGAGCTTATTTCTGTGGGGGCATGGCGTCGGTTTTTTCAAATTATAGAGCCGATTTACAAGAGCTTGACTTTGAAATTCATGATTATTTTGACGCATGACTCGATTAACTATCACTATGAAAATCCAAAGGAGCTGACTTTTCGACTCAGAGGCAAGATATTTTCGATTTCACTATTTGATTTTGCTGGAATCATGGGTTTGTAGGATATAGAGTTTGTGGATACACCAAAGTTTAAGGACTTTTCCATTTTGATACCGGAAAATGCTCATCGATTATGGTCGCGGATTAGCACGGAGCAATTTCACAATCTTACCCGGTCGAAGGCATCGAGGCTCCGGTATGCACCTTTGTGATATATTCATTATATTTTGGCCCATACATTATATGGTCGTAGAGAGAGTACGGGGAGTAGTATCATCTCATGATTTATGTTATCTTTGGAGTATGTATGCACGTATACTTGTAAATTTAGGATATATGCTTGCGCGGTTCCTTATACATCAAGTTGAGGATAAACGTCTTGGAGGCATTGCTATTAGGCCTTATGTCACTCGATTGGAAAAAAGTCTTGGACTATTTGATGAAGTGACGGAGGAGCCTTATTTATTTATTTATTTTTTATGACGTGGGAACCTGCAACTGCTACCCGAAAGTGCGCACTTGGTAAACTCCTGGCCGAATCTAATACCCTGCAAAATAGGCCCGACAAGCAAGACACACTAGGCGAACCATGTGTGGCAGGTGACCTGAGGCGTCGAGGGTTTGAACCTATGACCTTACGGGTTGACTGTTGAGAAGATGGTGTTGACTGTTGAGAAGACAAATGCAAAGCAGTTTAGGAGTTTGATTGGAGGTTTAATTACCTCACAAATTATAGGCCTAACATTTCTTATTTAATGGGATTGTATCTAGATTTATGCATGAGCCAACAAAGTAGCACTTTGGCGCAACCAAACGTATCTTTTGTTATAATTTCGGGACACAAGATTATAGGATTTGGTATTATTTTGGATCAAATCTTCAATTAGTAGGGTTCACTGGCAGTGATTGGGCAACATCTTTGGATGATAAAAAGAAGTGTTTTTAGTCATTTTTTTTTTAGCTTTGATTCAACACTTGTTACTTGGAATTCAAAGAAACAGTTGATAGAGGCTTTATCATCGTTGGAAACAGAGTCTTGTGGCTGCAAGTTTATCATCATGCCAAGCTATCAAATACAAGAAAAAGAAACTATCATTCGCTATAATTATAAATGGGTAAATAAGATGACAAAAAATCAAATATTCTACCGAAAAACAAAACACATTGACAACTGAGTTTATTTTATAACTAGGTGTGTTGAGGAAGAAATAATTAGATTTGTGTATTGCAACACAAACTTTTATGGGGCAAATACACTAACGAAATCACTCTCTAGAGTAAAACATGATTATCCTAAATTCGCTTTAGAGTATGCCGCTTTGAATCAAGAGAGAATATTAAGTGTTATTAAAAAGTCATGTTTTATATGACAATATTTACATTTAAGTTTAATATTATCTATTGACTGAATCAATAATTTTATAAATTAAATCCTTATTTTTAGGAGTTTAGTTGAATTATAGTAAAGTATCTCGGTAGTTGATATTTTTTTTTATTTTTAATTGCTTCATTAAATAATGTTGAATAATACTCCCCCGTCCTACTTACTATGTCAATTTTTCTATTTTCTTCTATTTCACTTATTCGGCCACTGTCCGTTTTTAAAAAGAATTATATACATTAAATCTCATTTTATTTTTTTTAAATTTTAATTAGACTAATAAGCTACCTTATTCTTAATTTAAAATTATTTTTATTATACGTATATTATTTTTACTGATATAGTTTTAATTATTTAATAATTATACTCCTTCTAAAAGGGTGTTTGAGAAAAAACTTTTTGAAGAGCTTTTTTTTAGTTGTTTGACTAGTCAAAAAACTAATTTAGGTGTTTTGTAAATTAAGTTTTTGAAAGAGCTTTTTGAACCCAAAAAGTTAATTTCTGAAAAGTTCATCTACCCAGCGGTTTCGAAAGAACTTTTTCATTTTAATTTTGATTATTCCTTATTTACCTTAAAATTTAATTATTTATTTTATACATATAAATATATTTTTATAGCAGTATTTATTAATTATTTTTAATATATTTAATTTATTAAATTATATTTTTATTTTTTTAAATTTAAAATAATTAGTATTATTAATTATTACATATAAATTTATTTTATTTATAAAATATATAAAATTTGAAAACCAAATCAAATAGAAAAAACAAAGGTTATTAATTTATTTATATATATTAAAACAATAATTAACATAAAAAAAAATATATACGAAAGATTTATTATTTTATATTTTACATAATTTTAATAAATTTATTTTTTATTTTTTAGTAAAAATAATTTTCTCAAACCTAAATAATAAAAATAAAAATAAATATTTTATAACATTTTATAATTTTTAATAATTAATAACAAAATTTCTCATAAATTTCAAACTAAAATAAATAAAATTAAATATTTAAAAAAAATAACATATCAAATGTCTTTAATAGTCATATTTTATGTATAAACAACTAATGTCAAATAATTATTTGATCAAACACTTAGAAATCGTTAATTGAATGGGCAGCCAAACACACCCTAAATTATCATGTCTTGTGTAAATAGGATATCGTGCTGAAACTACTAAAAGAGTAAAAGTTTTCAAAATTAAAGTACATTTTTAGCTATTTCTTAGTAAAATCTTTTGAATAGTCAGCAATAATTTAAGGCAAAAAAATATAACAGATTTTTGAAGATAAAACAAAGAGAAAAAAAAAAAAAAAAAAGAAGGAACGGATTTCTAATAGCAATAATGGAATGGAAAGTTTTACGTTCACGAAAAAATTTAAGCTAATAATAATAATAATAATAATAATAATAATACTAGTACTACTATTAATAATTTTGACATTCACACGTCAAAAACCCTTCTCAAGCTTTAGAAACCCATTCAAAACGCCGCCGTATCGTAAAACCCTAAACCCTAGACGACGACGACCTAGAACCATCTTTACAACCATCTTCTAGACACTTCCTTTCCTTCTATATCTTCCCATTTTAACGGACGCAGCAGTCCGATCGTCCTGCAATACCCAGTGCCGTATCTACTGCTGCTGCTTCTTCATTTTCCAGTTCAGAGTGCTTTGCTCCAATTCCTCTTCATTCTCAATTCATTATGTATCGATTCGCAGCTAATCTTGCTTCCAAGGCCAGGTAATCCAATACTCTTGGCAAGTCGAATGCATTTCTGCTTTCCTGTTGTCAAATTTTAATTGTTTATGCTGATGTAAACCTCAAATTTTCTTGGTTGTGCAGGGTCGCGAGAAACAGCAGCCAACAGGTGTTTATTTTATTAGAAGATATGTGTTCGCGCGCGTGTGTGAATCTTTCATTTGATTTCGTTTTTACTTGATGGTTGATGGTTTATTGGTGCGTGTATATCAGGTCGTTAGTAGATTGGGTGGGAGCAGAAACTATGCGGCAAAAGACATTAGATTTGGTGTCGAGGCAAGGGCTGCAATGCTAAAGGGTGTTGAGGAGCTTGCTGAAGCTGTTAAAGTAACTATGGGTCCCAAGGTACGGTGATCTTGTTGCGATTACTATAATATTTAGGAATTTTCTGAAGTGATGTTTTCTGAATCTTTACAGTGTGCCTATCTTATCTGAATGTTCTTTTCATTGAAAGACTGATAAATTATCAGTATTTGTAGAATTTTTCGTTTGGTTGCCAATGATTTTCCGTGATAATTGATTTGGTTCTGTGAATCTCTCTCTTCTTTTATTTGGTAAAGGGACGAAATGTAGTGATTGAACAAAGCTGGGGTGCTCCAAAAGTGACCAAAGATGGAGTGACTGTTGCTAAGAGCATTGAATTTAAGGACAAAGTGAAGAACATTGGTGCTAGCCTTGTGAAGCAGGTTGCAAATGCTACAAATGATGTTGCTGGTGATGGTAAGTGTTTTTGGTTATGTGATATAATATTCCTGATATATTTGGTGGACGAGTGTCCTTTCCATTCTTGTCATTATAGAGTCTGCCTATTGAATTTGTTCGCCATGTGCTGCAGGTACTACCTGTGCTACTGTTCTCACTCGTGCCATATTTATGGAAGGCTGCAAATCAGTAGCAGCTGGAATGAATGCCATGGACCTCAGACGAGGAATTTCCATGGCTGTTGACTGTGTGCTTACAAACTTGAAAAGCAGAGCTAGAATGATTAGCACTTCTGAGGAGATTGCTCAGGTTGGTTCACCACTTACAAATTTATGATTTATTGGATACCTGAATCAATATACAATTGGAGTTATCTATGCCACTAGTTTCCAAGAAGCTGTTATTTTTGTGAAAGCCCTGGAGAACTTTTGATATGCTCAAAGTAATCTTACGTTGCAGGTTGGTACCATTTCTGCAAATGGAGAAAGGGAAATTGGTGAACTAATTGCAAAGGCAATGGAGAAAGTTGGAAAAGAGGGTGTTATCACAATTCAAGTATGTGCATTGTTGCCTTTCATGTTACCCTACTTTTCATTGTTATTGTACCTTTTACTGCTGAATGTTAATAACTCAATGGGTGCAATGATGTGGATTGTTCAGGAACTGCAGAAAATTTTTATTCCATTTTTTAAATGAGCAATGACCTTCTTGTCATTGCACTCAAAAAGCAGTTTTGAAAGTTTACCGTTTTGTAATCAGTGCCAACATGAAATAGTGTTGCTGCACATTTTTCTGATCTCTTGAATTTCCAATAATTAAATAGTATTACCATTTCGTGCTTTACAAGTATATTTCCATGCTATTCCTGCCTTCTTGCGTATCTGCATGTCTGGTCTGTCCCTGATCTATCCCCATGGCGTGAATAAGATTTGTGATGGATTTCATGTGATTTGTAGGATGGGAAGACCTTGTTCAATGAACTGGAAGTTGTTGAGGGGATGAAGCTGGACAGGGGCTATATATCTCCATACTTCATTACAAACCAAAAGAACCAGAAATGCGTAAAAATCCGTTGTTGTTGCTAAACATTAAATGGTGCTTCTAATTAGAAAATTGACTTACTTTTTGTGACTGTCAATAGGAATTGGATGATCCTCTTGTTTTAATTCATGAGAAGAAAATTTCAAGCATAAATGCTATTGTGAAAGTTTTGGAATTGGCTTTGAAGGTAAGTGTCGGTTGCCTAAAATTCACTGTGGTATGTGATAGCAGCATACTGATCCTACATTTCTGAACCTTTGTAGCGGCAAAGGCCTCTTCTGATAGTTGCTGAAGATGTTGAAAGTGATGCACTTGCAACTCTCATCCTTAACAAGCTTCGAGCTGGAATTAAGGTATTCAAATACTCTTTCTTATGCAGGGTCCCATGCCTCTATGTTGATTTTTACTAACTTATTATGTTGCAGGTTTGTGCTGTGAAAGCTCCTGGATTTGGTGAAAACAGGAAAGCTGGTTTGCATGACCTTGCAGTTTTAACTGGTGGACAGGTAAGTGCATTTTCACAACTTCATGTCCCGACAAATTTAAACATCAGTGTCACATTGTAAATGTTATCTCTTTCACAGGTCATAACTGAGGAACTTGGAATGAACCTTGATGATGTTGAGTTGGATATGCTGGGTTCATGCAAGAAGGTTAGAGCTTCAGATTTTGCAAATTTATGCTACACAAATGATTTTTGTATCACTTGCATTGCCCTTGAGAGGGGAATCTTCCCAATAGCTTATTGAGAACATCTTTCTTGTTCTAGGTTACCATATCTAAGGACGATACTGTTATACTAGATGGAGCTGGTGCAAAGAAATCCATAGAAGAACGATGTGAGCAGGTCTGTGCGTTTGGCAATTTGTTTGATAACATTTTAGTACATCAATAATGTGAGATCTTCAGAATTATCTACTTTGCAATTTATATGAACTTCTGTTTCAATATTGCAGATTAGATCATCAATTGAATTGAGCACTTCTGATTATGATAAGGAGAAATTGCAAGAAAGGCTTGCTAAGCTTTCTGGTGGTGTAGCTGTGCTTAAGGTTTGTATTTTTTTGCTTATATGGTTATATTTAAACCGTGATAAATTGCAAGTTATTCCATGTGAACAGTCACCAAAATAACCCTTTTCGTGTTAGCCTTCAGAATAACAAAACAATTGTAATAAGAGAAATTTCGCTACTTTAAATATTATTAGTAGGTTTCCAGTGTTGTTCAAAAGTCTAATTTATAGTTTGCATTTAAAACATATGTATTATTTGCATTGCGTCTAATTGTACTAATTCATTTTTATTGCAGATTGGCGGAGCTAGTGAAGCGGAAGTGGGAGAGAAAAAAGATCGGGTGACAGATGCTTTGAATGCTACTAAAGCAGCTGTAGAGGAGGGAATCGTGCCCGGTACATTTCTACACATTACCGTAGTAGTCTTGCCTGTCCGAAAACAATAAACAAAAGAATATGGAAATATAATCTCACTATGCAGGTGGAGGAGTTGCTTTGCTCTATGCATCTAAAGAATTGGATAAGCTGCCAACAGCAAACTTCGATCAGAAGATTGGTGTTCAGATTATCCAAAATGCATTGAAGGTCTGATTCCTTCGTTATCACACAACAGGGCCAAATCAATATTACCGTTTGTTAGTTAATTTTTCCAATCTAATTGCAGACTCCGGTTCACACAATTGCTTCCAATGCTGGCGTTGAAGGGGCTGTCATTGTGGGCAAGTTGTTGGAATCAGACGATCCAGATCTCGGATATGATGCAGCCAAAGGTTTGCCACAGATCTTTCTCTTAATGCAGTTGTAATTGAATTTCGACTAAAATCATCTACATGGGCTGTGTTGTGAGAACAGGTGAATATGTAGATATGGTAAAGGCTGGAATTATAGACCCTCTAAAGGTTATTAGAACAGCACTTGTAGATGCTGCCAGGTGAGTAAATGACAATATATATATATATATCTATATCTATATGTAAGCTCCTCGGTGTGGACAACTCCAATTCCATTCTGTTATCTTAAGTCTGGTTTACTTTCCCTCCTGCAGTGTCTCGTCTTTGATGACGACTACGGAAGCGATTGTGGTGGAATTGCCTAAAGATGATAAGGGCGGCCCAGACATGGGCATGGGTGGTGCCCCCGGGGGCATGGGGGGCATGGATTACTAAGCTTACTGCACATTATTTTGAGGACAAATGTCAAAAAAAAAGAGCACATTAATTTAATCGACTATTCTTATTTATTCCCAAGTTTTGACAATATTTTGGGTAGGGCCCTTGGCTCTTGTTGTAATTGTTCAGACATTGTTTTTAACCTTGGATGAGAAAAAACATCTCATTCTTCATAACGGGAGTTTACTCGCACGATATAAGATCAGTTGGTATCGACGTGTTTAGTTTGCCTTTTGGGAATATTTTTGTGATTTTGGTATTGTATTTATAATGCTTTCTTTGGGCAAAATCGATTATATTTTAGAAAATGTTGTCCTTGTTTCAGGTCTAGAAACTACTGAAATTGCCTTGAGTGTTTTCACGAAATAGTTTGTTCTCTTAAAGTCCTCCAAAGAAGTGTCTGAATTGTTGCACTCATCAGCGCTGCCTATTAGTCTGTGGCTTAAAAGAAAGTTGGTCGTCTTTGTTCAGAATCATTTCTTATTTAAAATCGTTAAATTTATTTATGTGATGAATTCCGCATCCGCTTCTATTTTCTACTGCATTGTTGGTTTAGAAAGAAGCTCGAGAGTTTCCACTTATATAGGTCCAACATTTGGTGCAAACAACACTATTGTTGTCATGCGCAGTTCCTTTTAACGTATGTATAATAAAGTAATAAGATGGACATCTGTCTCATATTGTTAGTTTACAACCTAAAAAGATACTCCCTCGGTCCAAACAAAGTGCAATATTTGATTTTGGCACATGTTTTTAAGTGGATAGTATTAAGTAGAATAATTTAGAAATTGGGTGATGAGATAGAGAAATAAATATATATTTTATTTTTTTATTTGGATGATGTGAGGGGATAAAATATGGGGTAGGGATTAATTATAATTAATCATTTCCTATTTTGGAAATATTGGAAGGTGTTTGAGACATACAGAAAAAAGAAATGTTGCAGGGTGTTTGGGATGGAGGGAGTATCATTTTGTTAGTTTACGGATGAAAAGAAAGGCGGCAGGTAAATAAGACATTTCAGTTTATTTTTTTCTTTTTCCTTTTTCTTACTAATCGTTTAGGATATTTTTTCTTTTTTGCAATATTGTTTCTCAAACTTCTTTTCTGTTGAATATAATTGATTTATTGTATATTTTTTATTTTTTCTTCGCAGAAAGACAAAAATATATATATACATAAGAAATTAAAAGATCTAAATGAAATGAGTGATGAATTAAAACTAATTAAATTGAAAGTTTAATCAATTAATCAATTAAATAATTATATACGTAAACCATATAAATAAAAAATAAAAATAATAAAAAGCTGTAAATTAGAACTAGTGTTGTTAATAGAAACAGAGCAAAAGCACGGCTTCTATTAGGAGCCAGTGTTTTCTATTAATTGAAGTAGTGCTCTCTGCTAATAGAAGTAAGTGCTTTCTATTAATAGAATCGGTGCTTTCTGTATGCTCTATATTTGTAACGTGTACGGAAGCTGATATGCTTGGCGCTTAGGTCACACCCGCGTTGAGGCTAAGATCAGTCTGTGCGCAACACGTCCGGGATATACCATACAGTATGGGAGAATCATGCGGAACACGTACCTGCACCAAGATATATGCCATCAATAAGCCGTACAGGACAGGGACTCGCACACATGGGACGAACTATGGCATGAGACGAACTTTGGCTGAGAACCTGGGGCAGGAATGTCAACCGGTGACAATACTCCACTATTTCAAGTTGCAAATGCCCTCGTACGACGCTACTTAAGTGCACTGGCATTGTTTCTTGCAACCTCGGTATGCCTCCGGCGTCAGTTCCTCGACCCATTTTTGCATACCCATCTCTTTGTGCTCACCAACAGCTAGCGAGGTATTTTGCTATAGACAACCCACATGCGACCCACATTTCGCTGCGCATCTCCACACACCATTCGGGACATCCATTGTTGCGGCTTGTGCATTCTTCGCCCGAAGATTGTCCTTAACGTGATTTTGCTCTCACGAACAAAGCTCGGCCCTCTTGGCCCGGCAACGTCGAGCATACATCCTGTCCTTGGGATGTCCAGTTACCTTAAGACATGCTCATCCTTGATGTGCCCATCGACATGCTCTCGGAGCAATGTCCTACTCTGTCGCTTCGTTCGCCATTAGCGTCAAGGTCCGTTCTAATACCATATGTAACGTGTCTGGAAGCTGACACGCCCAGCGCCTAGGCCATGCCCGCGCTGAGGCCCAGACCAACCGTCCTCTGTGCGCAACACGTCCGAGATATACCATACAATATGAGAGAATCATGCGGAACACATACCTGCACCAAAATATATGCCATCAATAAGCCATACAGGACATGAGGTTGCACACATGGGACGGACTAGGACCGAGAACTTGGGGCAGGAATGTCAACTCGTGACACATTGCTCTCTAAATTTTTTAACTTAGCAGTGTTCTATTTGAAAGAGTCAGTGTTTTTGACAAGCTTTTTGTTGAGTGCGAGTGCTTTCTGTCCACAAAAGCGGTGCTTTACATGAATAGAGATAGTGCTCTTTAATTTTTTTTAACCAACGTTTTATTTTTGTGCTTTTAAAATATAATAGTTGTGCTATTTTATAATTATTATCATGCTTTTAAAAAATTTATCCTTCAAATAATACTCATTATTTTATTTATTTTTACTGTTTTTATAATAGTAATGTAAGTATATATTCATTTGTATAGGTATAATCATTTTCTAGTTCTGTTTCACATACCTCTGAGTTACAGAGAATTTTATTTTAATATTTTTATTATTGTGTTCTTTTTTGAAATTATGATTGTGCTTTTTTGAAGTAATTTTTATTCTATTTAAATATGATAGTTATGCATGTTTAAATAGTATTATTGTGTTATTGTATAATGAATATGATGCTTATAATTATTATGTTTTTCATATCATTTTATTAAATTTCTCTCTTTCACTGCAATAGCTTTCTGATGGCGGTCTGTACACTCTACATATTTTTCTCACTTCAGTCAAATTATCTATGTATATATATACACGTATATTTATGTCACTATGTTAACTCAACTTAAACACAAATACAAATATAAACACAAGAATATTTTAGTTAAAAGCACACCTATTGAATAATAAAAACATCAAACACAATATTTTGTTAATAAACTTATATGTGCTCTTTTGTAAAAGCGTCTGTGTGATGCGATACAATTCAAATATAGAATTAATTTAAAGAATATAGTAAAATACAAGATTAATTTTATTTACTATTAACTACTAAGAAGATCAAATAGTAATGATTTAATCAATACCATATTGATTCTTAAAACAATAACTGAGCCCGAAAAAGACAACTTACTACTCAAATTAATATTATATTTAGAGAGTATACTTAATTTGAATTTTTTTTATTTTATTTTTATATTTTGAATGTATTTAATCTATATTTTAAAAAGTCATCTAAAATATCTGTATTCAATTAAATTTTAAAAGTTTATAAATTTTGAAGTATTCAATATAAATTTAAAAAAGTTTCAATAAATCTTTATGCATTCAACTATACAAAAACCCGAACCATAGCGTAGTACCAAATTATCTTATGTAGTTTTATATTATAAATATAATACTTTAAAAACATATTTATCCTAATAAATCTACCCTAATGCCGCCTTCCTTCTTCCAATTAATAAATACACATCATCGTTCTGATAAACATAAATTTGATATTTGTATTTTTCTATCATTAAAAATAACATTAAACCTTCGATTCGGATCCAAAAGTGGCTATGTACGGCTATACTTATCGAAATTATTTGAACCGCCAGTTTCGATATCTCAAAAAGATAATTCAAAACCAAACTTAGATTCTAATCCATATTACTTACATGTCTACTGTTTTGTGCAAAAATATATATATATATATGTTGGTGTGCAAACCCAAGTCCCACGTCGGAAAGTTGTAAAGAAAATTTCACATCTTATAAGTCCTAAGTAGTATGAAACTTTTTAAAGAATATCCAAAAACAAATCCGTGCGGGCTCGACCCAGTCCCAACAGTAGTATTAGAGCCCGGTTAGATGATGGCAGTGGCCATCGGTTGTGGTGGTGGGCTCAAGGTGGCAGGGAATATCATACTAGTTGAGTTGCCATCGGTTGTGGTGGTGAGCTCAAGGTGGCAGGGAATATCATACTAGTTGAGTTGACAAGTCCCAACAATATAAATAATAATTAATAAAAACATAATTTTAAAAAGTAATGATACAGTAGTTGTTATTCCAACATTACTTTTTTTTTTTTTTTTTTTAATATAGTTAATTGTCTAATTGATAACCAAATAGGTTGAGAAAAAATATGGATCGGGTCAAAATTGGGATCAAGATTATCCGAAAAATAAAGAAATTGATGTCAGTAATATAGGACTGTTAGTCCACATTTTTGCCAAAATAACAGAGAAGCAATGGCAGAACTAGAAACAGAGCCTATTACTTCCAGAAAATTGATCCCTTTTGCTTTCTCGAGATTTTACTACTTTCTTTCTTTTTTTATTTTTATTTTTTATTTTTTAAATTTTGAAATCTTTATTTATTGTTTCCAACATCTTTAATTTAATTCTAGTTTATTATTTTTTCGTTCAATTCATTCCTTATTCCAGAAATTCGACTATCTCACTCGTTCTCGTGTTATTTTGCTTCGATTTAACACCACGGCTTTGGATTAAATTGGACACGGTCCGAATACTGTTTTGAGGGAGTCCGGAAAACCCTAAACACCTATTTTTTATTGGCTCCATTCGATGAGCCACTGAAAAATAATTCAAGTAAGATCAATAGATTGGACACATCGTGTCTCAATCCATTGATTCATCGATGTAAAAAATTGGTTTTGGTTTCAGTTTATTGGTCGATTGTACAGATTTGTATGTCCTGATATTTTGCAATTGCATGACTATTTTTTTTTTTTTTTTAATGTTTGTAAAAGATCCTATCACTGTTTGATTTAATATTTTTATGTTGTAAAATATCGTATGTATTATGTTTTCTAGTTACCTATTTAACAATTTATGCGAATAATTGTGAGTTTATTCATACAATTTTTATTGCTAAAAATGATATGCAATATATATATTTCTAAGGGTAATCACATTTTTTATACTTATATTAAAACATCGTTGATTGGTCGTTGTCTTTGTCTTTTTCTTCAAATTTTATGCTAGATTCCATCTCGTTAATTCTTGCGACAACGGCGATGGCAATGGCTCGGCTCAAGAATGCAAGGATGCCAATCTCAAACACCCTCTATCGTGTGCAAAATCCTTCTGTCTGCAAAATTATTTCTCATCATTTTCATTGCACAGGCCATACATGAATACGAGACTGACCGCCAGAAGCGACCATGGCCAAAAGATACTCCAAGCTTATTTAATCATTTTTATTGTACTTTCCGTTGGCGCGTGTATAGATTTATCTATATCTATATATATATATAATATTCTTGTACGGACATAAAATTACCTAATTTGCTGAAGCAGTGGCTGGTATTCATAGACGATCCCATGCCCAAAAAGATGCAACCTCTGCCCCTACAACTATGGCTAATGGTAAGATTCATATGCAGATTAAATCAAAGCCCTACTTTGATAATCCTTTAATTTTATTTCACTAAATAATTAATATTCTTCTATTCTAATTTTCAAATTGGCATGCAAGACAACCGTGGAGGACAACATCGATGACACCGGCCGGCGATGGTGAGGGAGATGACAACAACGATGGATTTGCAAACAAGATTGGGGAGGGCAACCCAATGTGTTCTCCAGAAGACATCATGGTATAACAAAACACATCGATCCCACTCCCCAACATAATTCCAACCTACACCAACTAATTCTCCAACCCCCCATCGGCGACAATATCCACATTAGTTGCGGCTGGTTCAGCACTACCAAGCTCATTAATCCGCAGTGTGTATAATGTATTGAATAATGTAAAATATAAAGGGAGATAAGAGATATTGAGACTTTTGTTTGTTTATAAGGAAAGAGAGTGAGTATATTGTCATAGAGTAAATCAAACAAACAATTCCTTAATATAGTATATGAAAAGGACAAAGAGAATTAAAATTGGTTGGAGATGTGTAGTAGGAAGAAGAAAATGAGGAAAAAAGTTAGTGTTGTATTACTCAACACTACCATAAAATTTATTTAAAAAAAAAACTATACAATTGCAATATTTTTAGACTCGAGGCTTAGGAAAGAAGATTTGCAAGGCTTATCGAAGGAGAATCTAAGTGAGAGAAATGAAAGTAATCAAAATTCATTTTGCAGTGATATTGATAAAGAAATAGGTGGTTTGATGGAAGATCATAATGATCTTCGTTTGGTCATTCAGTCAAGCGAGATCATCATGACTTTCGGTATGCGTCGATATGATTTTGCACACGACGGAGGGTTTTGAGATCGGTGTGTAACGTGCCTGGAAACTAACACGCCCAACACCTACACCACGCCCGCGGTGAGGTCCAAACCAACCGCCTTCTGTGCACAATATGCCCGAGATATACCATACAGTATAAGAGAGTTATGCAGAGAACACGTACCTGCACCAAGACATATGTCATCGATCAACCGTACAAGACAAGGGCTTCGCACACATAGGACGGACTATGACCGAGAACTTGGGGCGAAAATGTCAACCCCTGACAATATTCCCCTACGTCAAGTCGCAAACGTCCTCGTACGACGCTACTCAAGTACACCGATATTGTTTCTTGCACTTTCAACATGCCCCCAGACGTCAGTCCGTCGGCCCTTTCCTGCATACCTTTTGTGCTCACAAGCGCCAGCGAGATTTTTCCATAGCCGACCCACATGTCCCATTATACCGCGTATCTCCAAACATCCGAGACATCCTTTGTTGCAGCTTGCACATTTTTCGCCCATGATCGTCCTTAACGTGGTTTCTCCCTTACGAACAAACCTCGGCCACCTTGGCTCAATAGCAACGTCGAGCGTACTCCCACACCCTAAGAGCACTCCCCTCTAGAATGTCCAGTTCCCTTAGGACATGCTCATCCTTGACATGCCACATGCATACTCTCCCACAAAGCAATGTCCTACTCATCCGCTTCGTTTGTCACCAGTGTCAAGCTTCACTCTGGTACCATATGTAACGTGCCCGGAAGCTGACACGTCCGGTGCCTAGGCACGCCTGCACTTAGGCCCAGACCAGTCGTCCCATATGTGAAACATGCCCGGGATATACTGTACAATATGAGAGCGTTATGTGGTTCACGTACCTGCACCAAAACATATGTCATCAATCAGCCGTACAGGACAAATGGACATATAGGACAGACTATGGCCGAAAATCTGGGGCGAAATGTCAACTCGTGACATGTGGCCTTTCATTCTTGAGTCGTTGCTTTCACCGCCGCCGCTGCAACAAAATTTTCAGCAAGATAGAATCGAACACACAATTTGAAGAAAAAGACAAAGACTATGACCAGTCAATGATATTTCAGTGCAATCACATGCTACTGACACGGGTTTTCATAGTCAATAACGGTAACTATTAGAGTGCTAATTGAAATATTAGGGTGTTAATTGAAGAAAGATCTAAAAACTGCACTGATTAGTTAAATTTAGGGGCAAATTTTTAAAAATTAATAATATAATGGTACATAATAAAAAGACGATTAAATATGAGGACAAATAATGTGACTACCCCTATTTTTTTTTATTTTGTTACTTATTATTTACATGTGTCTAATTATATGTTTTATGAAAAAAAAATATTAATGTATTAACTATCATATACTCCCTCAATCACATTTAATTTGTCCACTATTTTCATTTTTGTCTGTCCCATATAATTTGTCATTTTCTTTTTTAAAATATAATTATACACTTTAATCACATTTTAAAATTTATTTTATTTTAATTAAACTATTTAGTCATCTTAATCTTAATCTATAATTATTTTTATTAAATTATAATTACTTTCACTAATACACTCCTTAATTACTTACTAATTACACATGACCTAAAACTCCGTGCCTAAACTAAATGGGACAAAATAGGTGGGACGGAGGGAATACTATATATGTATATATCTTAATAAGTTGGTTTGTGTCTATTAATATATCATATTATTTTGGGGGATTCACATCAAGATATAAAAAGAAAAAAACACCCTGTAAACAATAGATTGCTAGAACTTCTTGTTGTGGTTTAGGGATGACATGACAATAATGATGGTTTTCGAAAGCAATGGTGGAAGAAAGAATATTTTCTATTTCTAACGAAAGACTTTAGTGTAATAAAATATATAGAAATTACCAAAATTGCTTTAAATGATTTAAAATTTGTTAGTTATATTATTCAAATTTGAGATTTAGCTTTAGTTTTGGATATGATAAAACTACTAAAATATTTACAATTTCAAATGAAGTATGAAATGTATACTTAGAAGTAAACTTATTAAGCATTATATTATAGTAATATTATAGGATTATCTTTTTTATTATATAGTGAATTTTTTTTTCTTTGTTTATAATAGATTCATTCAAAGGACGTGAACTTAAGCTGTATGAAATGTCTTGATTATGAGGATTTGACAATTACGATATAAAATGTTGTAGAAAAAAAAAAACTCCATTGGGTTGGATAGTGCTACTAATGCAACGACATTAGAAGATGAAGAAAATAGAGATGCACACATATAATATTTGAATTATGATGCTGAAAATGAGATATTTGTAGTAAAAAATATTCAATACTGGGTTCCACACCATCTTTAAGGTTTACTTGTGTGGTTTAATTATCTTATATACTATTTTTTTTTTTTTTTTTTTTTTTTTTTTGATCGGAACTATATTTCTATTTTTTTGATATGAAGCATGGAAGTTCATAAAATGTTAGAAGAAGAAATTGAGGAAGAAGAAATAGATGAAGATTTGAAGATGAAACTTTACAAAAATGTAAGGTTCTAGATGTTGACAATTAAGACGGTGATAGTTTTATTAGAAAAGATTACTATGATACTTCAACATATTGTAACTTCTTTGAAGCAATGACCAATTACGAAAATTAGATATCCATAAATTTTTTACTTTTGTATAGGATGTAACCAGATGTATTTATAAAGTTAAACACTATCATTAGAGAAAAAACTTTTGTACATTATATGATCGAAGGAGATCCATAAAGTTTTTTACTTTTGTATAGGATGTACCCAGATGTATTTATAAAATTAAACACTATCATTAGAGAGAAAACTCACCTGAAAGATACAAGATAAATATGTGTAGAAGAAATTGTGACAATATTCTTGATCATTGTAGGACACAATGATCGATATGGTAATATTCGCCAAAGGCTTGGTCATTACATTTTTCTACTAGTAAAAAATTCAACAAAAATTCAAATACATTGAACACTATAGCACCGAAAATGATGGTTAAACCATCTATAGAGAAACCTACTAAAATTTACGGAAGTACAAGATTTAACCATTTTCTTTTAAGGTATGAATCCTCTTGAGAATATTGTAGATATAACCGAAATTAAATGATGTAGTTTTATTATTATTATTATTATTTACCAATTGTTCACTTTTTAGGATTATATTGAAGCTATAGATTGAACTCATATCCCCCAAAAAAATAACATGTCATAGAGTAAACAATTATCAAAACCGTCATGACATTCAATCGAAAAATGTGTTATCAGCTTAAAACTTTGATTTGCAGTTCATATATGCGTTTAGTTGGTGGAATGGCTCATCATATGACTCAAAACTTCTAAATGATGCACTATCAAAAAGAAATTAATTTCAAGTGCCTCGAAGTAATTTTTTTTTTATTATTTATTGTGTACATTTTTGTAATTGTGACAAGCTAACTAAATAGAATAAATTATTTTAAGGTAAATATCTTCTTGTGGATTATTTATTGGCTAACCAACGACAATTTTATCTCCATTATGTGGTATTCGTTATTATCTTAAAGATTTTGGTGGTCAAGGTCGTCATCCAAAAAAATACAAGTGAGCTATTAAATATTTGTCATGCATCATTAAAAAATGTGATTGAGAGAATTGTTGCTATTTTCAAATCGCAATTCACAATTTTTTAAATCGCACATACGTTCTCATTTTAAACACAAACAGATAATGTTGGTTTGTACTGTATTATATAATTTTCTCCGGAAAGAGTGTCACTCTAATGAATTTTTAGACGAATATGAAAAAGACTCAGATTCTCCGCATCTCGATGAGGAATATGAAACTTTGGTGTGTTTACTTATCAGGTTTTACACCTGATTTTACTATTCCAACCTTTTTTTCCCTCCAAAAATATCAAATCAAATACCCAATTTTTATTTATTTTATTACACTAAAATCTGATTTTACATTCAAAACATCACATCAACATATATTTATATCACATCAAACAACTATTTCAATTCAACACAAAGTAAACTATAACAAAAAAAACATAAAACCTAATACATGAATGGTGTGTTTGTTTGGGGGGTTTGGATTTTGAGTTGAGATTTGAATAGTAAAAATTTTGAATTTGAATAGTGATATAATGTGATATAAATAGTTGTTGATGTGATATTTTGAATGTAAAATTGATTTTTAGTATAATACAAAAAATAAAAAAATATGTGTTTGATTTGATATTTTTGGAAGAAAAAATTGGATGAATAGTATCAATCCAATCCAATCCCCCAAACAAACACACCCGAAGAATGAGTATTGCTAATGTTAAGTGAAAAATATGACCGATAAATAATAGTAATGAAAATAGAGATGAGAACGGCAATAATAATAATGAATAATAATCTATTTTTTTGGAACTAATGTATTTTTGGTATTTTTATTAAATATAAATAATTTTGTTATGTACTTAAATGTGCTCCAAATGAATTTATAAAAATCATATAAATCAATAAAAATATTATTCCGAAATCCTATGAATTTTATTAAAATTTATATAAATCATTAAATAATCTAATCAAATCTATAAAAATTCATGTAAATTTATAATTCGCGTATTATTCAAAATAATTATAAATGAATACATTCCTTGTATAGCTCCACATGGATTTCAAAAATGTCTTTTGTTTAGATAGCTTTATATGAATTTTAAAAATATCTTTGCACTTTCATTTTTATCCATTACATTTGTAGAATTACGATGATTACTTTAATGAACTATGCCGACTGCATATAAACAACAAAGGGCGATGAATCAAGCCTTAGAAAGAGCTCTAGAAATTCTAAATTTGTTTGAATAATGAATTACATTTACGTACCATTAGTACCAATATTGGCATGTTGAGAGCGATAAAAAAATAACTGATTAGTCTTTCGGCTAGATTGGCGCAAAGTGAGACTTAGTTAAATATATTGGGTCATATGAGATCTCACTTGGAAAAAAATATTCCATACCAACACATTCGAGTCCATAACTATGAGTTCCAATACAAGAGATCTAGGAGTACTTACTTACTAATGAAGTCCTATCAACGAATATTATGACCCAGTGAATTTTGTTTCACTTAATCCCTATGCATAGCCACGTATCTTTTTGGTTAACGAATAAAAAAATTTCTCTCCTATTCCATGAATACAATTTTCATTTCATATTAGCCAATGAAGCTCTTAATAAAGGATCATTCAAATCAAGTTAAAATCAATCTATTTTCGGCATATCAATAGCTAACGTATTAATCATAGTTAGCAATTCCAGCTCTGTATCAAAGTCACCATCAATATTATCACTAGAATCATGGTTGTCTCTTCACCCCTACCTCCTTTATCATTGAGCGATTATTTAGGGGCCTTACAAGGTTGAGCAATCATTTGGGGGCCTTAGCTGGTGATCCGAGCTATTTCCTTCTCGACGATGAAGCTTAGTTATCCAGGAACTACATGATAATTCAATGGGGTGGTGTGGATTGACAAAGAAACGATATAAAAATACGTTAATATAATACAAATGCAGAATATAAAATGACAACATACGATAAAAATAACAAACAACACGTGTATTATATTAACATAATACAATTACAACACATAAACTAACAGTGCATCATATAATTTCACACAACACGTAATATAAAGACAAACAACACATGGTATAAAAACGAAAAACACATAAATTATAATTATATTAATATAATACTAATGCAACACATAAGTAACAAGACATGACATAATCGATTAAATAAATATGTTCATACATGACACTTACATATTTTATTTTACACAATATATACTATTTTAAATAAAAATATGTACTGTATTTTTATTTTATATATATTACCGAAAAACTAACATAACACTGATTTGTTTGGTCAGCACTGTAACCATCATGTTGTAGAATGTAGAATAAATGCTCATAACTAATAAGAAGTGACTTAGGAACCATCACATATAAACGTTGAACTAGAGATTTTCACATAAATAACTTCCCCTTTCCTTTTCATACATACATGTCTTTATGATGATTTTGTTTTATCACCATAAGAACTTTATAAACCATTTTAGCATGTAGGCATAACACAGACCCGAGGATAATATAACTGAAAAATTGAATAAAATCCATAGGAACGCTACAAATCGTTGTTAGCAAACTCTATCCATCAACACCATGAAAATCACCATCCTCTCTAACATAATACCTCCTGACTATTTCAGACACATTAAAAATCATTCCAATGTAGACATTTGGCCCAAAGAAAATCAACCTATTTATTTACACCAAACCACAAATGCTTAGTATTGACATGCATTAAAAAAGAAAAAAAAAAAAAAAAAAAAAGAAGGATCACTAACAAACCTCAACTTGGTTCAAATTTTGATCATCTTTTCTTCCTACGCCTCTGAGTTCCAACGCACTCGGAGCAATACCATTTCCCCTTCGGCTGCTCTTTCAGGCCAACGCAGCCATAGTGAAACCATTCTATCTTGCACTGCAAAACAAGCAATGAAAACTTCTGTCATTTCAATGCAAATTTGATACCGTATATAACAGAGAACAACACATTAGAAAGATTTGTTGGCACATACATCAGGGTTATCGCAGGCAACCATTTCTCCATAGCTCACTTGGTTGCAGAAACAATATGTTGGTTCATTGGGGTCGACAGGTAGGTCAAGCTCCATACTGGTGGAATTGGCTCCTGTTGTGGAAGATGCAACAGCTGTTGCAGAGGCTGAGGCAGCCGCAGCTGCAGTTGTTGCTCCAACACGCCTGTATTGAGATGATATACATTCAATGCATCACAATCGAAGTCATCACTGAAATGTACTTTTAAGTGAAAGTTATGGTTGATTGTTGAAAAAAACCAAGGAACACACACAAACACCCAGAGATCTACTATAAAATTGCTGCTATTTAACTAGGGTATATGCTCTATGGATGTAGTGAGACATTGAGAATAGCAAATAATATGTGAACTGGCCAAGACAATAGATCTTACATTGTGAGGGTAAAAAAATGGGAATTATTACAGCACTCCCTAAAACATCTAGTTTATAGAGAAGCTCTTGTTCCATGTCACATTAACAAAAATATGCTATTCTCTCTGATATATGTCCATTTAAAATAGTATGCATGCTTCTAGTGAGGTCATTTGCAAGAGAATAGATCTTTCCAAAGATCTATAAAATTATTGTTACTTAACTGCTGGGATATATACTCCATGGATGTAGGGGTACATTCAGAGACTGGCAAATATGTGAAACTCACAAAACAACAGATGTTACTAAATGCGGGTAAAAGAACGGGAGAATATTACAGCACTCCCTAAAACATCTGGTATTTTTAAATTCTTCTAGGCACACCATCAAGTTCATTAGACAGGAAGGTCAGCAATTGTAAATTTCCTGCAACTTAATAGTAGAGTGGATAGAGAAAAAGGTGTTACTTTTTCCGCCCTCTGTGTCTAGTAGTCTCCTCAGATCTTCCAGATTTCACATTGTTTTCAAGTGTTGGAGAAGCCCCAGTTGCAGCAATGGCCTCTCTTTCTGCTAATTTGACATCAAAACTGTGAAATACATAACAAAAAAATACCTAAAAAGTGATATATATATATATACATCTGACCATGTCCGATCTGAATTTCGGATGTAGGCCACACATTCAAATACTAAGATACAAAAGTTCTGAGACAAATACCACGTCTAAGATCTTCATCAAACTTCTTCAAATATTGATCAAGCTGCTGAATGTGGGCATCTACCTATCACACAAACAATAGATCTTTAATTTTATCCAAGCTAAACAAAAAAAAGTTTCATGACCAAAAACAGGATATGAAACTTTTTGTACCTCTTGATTGAGTATTAGAAAAATAAATAAAACAACAATAATGGCCAATGAAAGAAGGAACAAACTATCAATTCACATATCCTAATATTTCAGTGTTGAATCTTTGAGCACAAACTAATAACACAACAATAATGGCCAACGAAAGAAGGAACAAGACTGCTATAATAGAAAAATACTTAAAGAACAAGAATGCAACAGACCAGAATCCAGCTTTACCAAATCATAAGCCTGAACAGCCAATGCAACCTTTTCATCAGCAATCCTAATGGCATGTTTTTGCTCTTCTACAGCTTCATCGGAGAATTTGAGAAGAGATGAATTTGGAGTTATATTATGGGACTTAATGGCACGCTTCATATCATCTATTTCTTGCTCACACCGCTGCTCATTTTGTCTCTGAATCTCTGTTTAAGAAAATCCAATGCACGCCATAATGATGAAACTAGACAACTTGCTCTTCATAAAAGTCGTAAGTTAAGGACATTGATTCTTGCGCATCACAATTGAATTACATCAAGTAAACATATGAGCACGTAAGCAAACTTATAGAACACTGACAAGATTCAAGTTTGGTTGCTGCATGTTCCAAGGTTATCAGAACAGCCTAAAAACTTATTACTCCAAGTGGAAAGGAAAATAAGAAAAAAAGAAACACAGAAACAAGGGAAAAGAACGAAAGAAACAACTTTTCAATCAATAACATCAGAAATGAAATTTTTTATGCTGAGAACGTTTTCAACTCGTCGGCCAGTTTCCTTACTCATTAGCCAGTGCCTGTATGCTAAACTAACTCCAGTGTCTTAGGAACCATCAATTTTGCACCTGAGTGAGTTCTTGCGCTCTGTTATCGTAATTGTTTTCAAAAACCCGACCTAATCAAAAGTTAATTGTGCACTTCATAATTGATTGAATGAATCAGGGCATTGCATTTGCACACAATAATAAAGGCTTCTAATGAAATCTATGACATCAACAATGCAACCTACAAGACATCTCATAAAGGTATAACAAGATCCGAGCCTCTAGCCAGTTAATATAAAGCAAACTAATTGCATTAGACGATGAAGAGGAGCTCAAAACACTCATTGGACCAACTTGTCAGAAGTATAACAGAATTAATTGGAATTTATAGACGCAATACAATAGCTTACCACAAAGCATCCTACTTATTCTTATACATACCTTGCAAACTTTTATCCATATCACGTAACTGGGCATACTTCCTTTGCAATATATTCGGCAGAGCTTCAATATCTGTTATAATGCAAAAACAAGTGGAACAACAAACACTACTATCACTGACTTTCCCGTACACTAATAGTTCTTTCGACGTTACATAAAAACGAAGACAGAAAAAAGTTAAGTGAAAAATCCCCCCCCCCCCCCCCCCCCCATTTCATTCGGGGAACCATGAAAAAGACTAACAAAAATTGTCAAGAATTCACGCAAAACTTTCACCTCTTTAGCATAATAAATACACATCTTGAACAAATAAAAAGAACCCCAAACGAATATTCACCACCAAAGCAAGCTAGGGTTCCAACACACAACGCCAAAGCAATAAGAAAAAAGAACGAAAACACACACACACAAAAATCCAACCATCCAGGAAGAAAATTATACTTACTAGCTTGAAATTCCTCGCTGACAGACATATCTTGGTACGAATTCCACGATTTTAGGGTGGATTGTAGATATTCTGCCGAACCCTAACAAATCTTGTCGCCGAGGCCGACGATCTTCGTATCACGCTTATGACTTTTTTTCCATTCTTTTAAGTACTTTTTCTTTTTTATATATATAATTTTAAATTTTAATTATATTTTAAATTTTAATTACATTAATTTTAATTTATAACTATTTTTATTAATAAATTTTTTTACTTATTAATTATAATTAATTTAAATATTCAGTAATATGAACAATTTATTGGGAGTAAGACAAATATGCCATGTACGACGTGCTTCTTATTGGGAATGAAAAAAAAATTGGATAAAGTAACTATAAATTTATATTTTAAAATTATAATTTAAAAATAATATATAAATTAAAAATAAATTTATAATTTAATGTTAAATTAATTGTATTTTTAAATTTATTTTAAAATTTTATAAATTATTAAATTTAATAATTTTAAATTATAGTATAATTAAAATGTTATAATTTAAAAATTGTATTTCAATTATAATTAATTTAATAAAATACATTAATTAAGGACATCGGCCAAAAAAAAAAATTTGCTCCTCTAATGAAAGGCTATATTTAATATCATTTTTTTAATCTTTACTACTGTGCTATGGTGTCTTTTTATTTTTTAATTTTTTAATTTTTTTAATTTCACAAATTGTAAATTGGTCCTGTAGAGGTCAATTTGTATTTTTTTTTATATTTTAATTGTGTATATTTGTAGTTTTTAGTATTTATTTAGTGATTTAAATTTATTATACTTCTTCCGTACATTGAACAATGTTACCATCTTTTAATTTAGTAATTGTACTACATACCAACATAATAAAATACTCTTTCAACTTACACTATATTACACAAATGTCATTATTTTATATTACACAATACTAATAGGAGTATTTTCGTATTTTTCATTACAACCCATTATAATACCAATATTAAAAAATATACGTGTAAAAAGTAAACGATAACCTTACACCGAAACGGGGGGAGTAATTTAAATTATGTGTTAAATATATTTAAATTTTACATTAAATAAATAGAATATTTGCAATAAATTCAAAGTAATTTTTAATAAAATAACTTATGTATTTTGTAAATAAATAAAAATATATAAACTATCCGTAAATATACATAAAATAAATATTTAAAATAAAATTTATTTGACTAATATAAACAAAAAATTTCAACGTCTTTATTTAATTAAAGACAATATAGTACACGGAAATATAATAACAATATATTACAAAGAAATGCAACAATATTTATTGAATTAAAAGAAAATATATTACAAACACTAGTAATACAAACACTAAATAAAAAATACTCATTACAAAAAAAAAAAAAAAAAAAAACACATAATGTTTAGTACGGACCTAAATCATTCGTACTTCCACCAATACTATCGAAGAATTGCGAGAATGAACCAGACAAATTTGATTGATATTATGTTGTTTTTTCCTTATGATCTCTTTTTTATTATTATAATATACCATACGAAGATTTGCGTCTGGAACAACATTAAGATCTATTGCCAAAATTCTATCTTCATGTCGAAGCATTTTAGTAATTTTTGTTTTTTAATCTCTCATTATACTTGTTAATTTCTTCATATGATTTTTTTTAAGTTTCAACCACTTCTGAGGTATTGTTCATCATGGTTTGAACATCAGAATGCAATGTATCATCACTATTTTTTTTTCATTAATTTTTTATTCTCGTAGGATGTGTGTGTTGTTGTGGAGTTTCGACATCAGTATCCGTAAAATTGAACAAGTATCCTCCAGCGTCACCTTCATCCTCTACATGAATAGAAAATGAAGATAGTGTAGGAGAATCGCTAGTTTGATGCTTCAACGACGACAAAACATATATTGCATTATGTTTTCGAGGAATTTTTCTAGAAGGCACACACTCGTTGTGATTTTTAAATTTTTAATAATTTTTTAATTGATCATAAAATGATCACATTTAAAACTTGTCTTATTTGTTTCTGTAAACATTTGTCTAGCGTCTCGCAACTGGAAAAAAAAAAAAGTTAGTGTTACAAATTTATTAAAACTTTATAACGATAAATATTACAAAGATACTTACTATATCCAATTCCGATGCTCCACTGCGATGTAGATTCTCGACTTTCATTATACAAGCAAGAAATTGTCTAACTCCTTTCTGTAATTTGCCTATTCGAGTATGCATTGATATAAAACTACGTTCAACCCATTCTGCTTCATTCTCTGCATTGTAGGCTTTGGGCACTTGTGTCCAAAACACGATAGACATTTGATCATTTGATGTAATTGCATCTTGAGAAATTATAAGAAATTTCTCAGTAAGTAATTGATCTTCAACATAGGAGAAATCAGCAGAACGTATAGAAGACATTTTTTTTTCCTTAAAATTTAGACAAATGTAGTGTATATGATATGAAACAAAATTTTTTTATTTATAGATGAATCACAATCAAATGAGAGCCATTGGATTAACCTAACACGATAGATAAAATAAGAGTCGTTCAATTCACCTACCATGATGGATTAAATGAGAGCCGTTCGATCTACCTTACACAACCGATCAAACGAGAGCCATTGGATTCACTTACCACGATGGATTAAATGAGAGTCGTTCAATTCACCTACCACGATGGATTAAATGAAAGCTGTTCGATCTACCTAACATGACCAATCAAACGAGAGTCATTGGATTCACCTACCATGATAGATTAAATAAGAGCCGCTCGATTCACATACCACGATGGATCAAATAAGAGCCATTGGATCCACCTTAACGCTATCCTTATACATCTTATATAAATCAGCACATTTGTCGCATATTTTACATACTTCAACCAAATATCAGAATAATTATCTAGTGTAAAAATGAATTTCAACATGGGAGGGCCTTCGAATGTGGTTGCTCAAAGTTCTTCTTCATCAGCATCTTCGTTGGAACATGATGGAATCAACCAACACATCCTGGCAAATACTCATGAGTGTGAGAAGGTAGCCATCTAAGCTATCGAGCAAAATAATATTTTTTGATTGTTTTTTCAATTCAAAACAACCAACTCATAGAGGATCTATGCTAGGTCATAAAGTTGTTAATTGTAATCGTGAAGAAGTTGATCGTAATTTACTTAATGATTACTTTGCACCTAACCCAGTATTTGATGAACGAATCTTTCGTCGACATTTTTGAAAGTCTCGAAGTTTGTTTCTTCGTATTGTTGATGCATTTAAACAACATGATTAATATTTTCAATAAAAATATGATGGACTTGGTCATCCTGGATTGTCACGTTATCAAAAGGCTACAGTTGTATTTCGCGTGTTAACATATGGTACAACAGTAGATGCAACTGACGAATATGTGTAAAAAGATTTTGTCGTGCCATGGTGGAAGTTTTCTGAACAATATCTTAGATCACCGAATACTAATGATATTGCAAGACTACTTCAAATTGGCGAATCTCGTAGTTTTCCAGGTATGTTGGGTAGTTTAAATTGTATGCATTGTGAATGAAAAAATTGTCCAGCTACCTGGAAAAGTGCATATGCAGATCGAAGCGGTTCACCAACTATTATTCTTGAAGCAGTGGTAGATTACGATCTTTGGATCTGGCATGCATATTTTGATTTACCATGAATCAACAATGACATCAACGTCTTGGAGAATTCACATTCATTTTCAGATTTCACTAGTGGAATTTCTCCTCTAGTATGAAACAATATAATATTGGTTGTTATTTAGCTGATGGTATTTATCCGAAGTGGTCAACAATTGTGCAAACTATTCATGATCCACGAGGTTCGATGAAGAAACCTGTTGCACAAAAGTAGGAGTCGTGTAGAAAAGATGTTGAACGTGCATTTGATGTTCTACAGTCGCATTGGGGAATAATTGCTAGACCTGGCCGTTTTTGGCAAAAATATATTTTGCATGATATAATGACTACTTGTATATTATCCATAATATGATAATAGAAGAGGAACGCGATCTCAATGCTCCAATAATTGAACGGGTTGAAGCACTGTCTATTGAAGTTGAGTTGGGAAGAGGTCAACATGCTCAACATGAATAGTTTTTCCAATGATACAAATAACTTATAGATAAAGAAGCTTACATATCACTTTGTAGTGAGTTGATTGAACATATATGAGAGCAATATAGTAATTCGGACAATTAATCGTCTATGTAATTTTCATATTTAACGTAATATTTGTTTTAATTTAGCACTGTATAATTTTCGTATTTAATGTAATATTTGTTTTAATTTAGCATTTTTTTAATTTTTGTATTTAATATAATATTTTTTGTTTTTGTATTTAATTTGTAAAAATTATTATCTTTAACAATAAAAAATTAATTATTTATATTATAAATATATTATTAAGTAATAATAGAAAAGTATGTAAATAATAATAAAGATTGGGTGTGAATTGTACATATAAAAAGTTGTTTCAAATAATATACAAAATAGAATATTTAGAGAATATTGTTTTTTGAGTTAAAAATAGAGTTGTGGGTGGAGTTAAATTACTGTACCAATTGCATTTTTAGAATTATAACTTCATAATGGAATTTTTCGGTTAGAGATGGCCTAAAAATACAAATACAATTATGTTTTTAAATTTTAACTTAAATATAATAGATAAATTAGTTAATTTTATAACTATGTTCGTACAAGGTGTGAAAGTCATTTTCTAATTTTAAATTTCAGGTATTTGAAATAAGATGTTCATGTTAATTGTGAGTTATGTTTCTTATGTGTCCTCTAATTTGCAGACAATATTAAGTTGTGCCCAAAAGGGTTCTAAAGGTTTGACTCTCTGTTGACAATCTCATGCTAATATGAGAGAAAAAATAATATGATGTACTAGCAGAAAAAATAAAATATATTTTTTAGGTTACTCTATTTAGATGTCCTATTCGATATTTGGAATGGAAACTCAAACCATCACCACAACAAGCGAATTAGTTTTTTAAAGAACCCTCAATGTGACATAAAGGTTCGGCGAAGTACGTACTTTTTGACAAAATTGTAAAAAATAGAATGAACGCCTATTTTTGTTGGCTCAC